AAAATATATATATAAATACATATTTAGGATACTTATGAATCATATACGAAACATAAAATAAGAGGTCACGCTGTAATAAAGCCAAATTTATTACATATATCGTCTGTCCACAACCTATGCAAAATATAAAAACCTGGTTACGCCCTTTTTATTATTTTACTTTGCTGTGTCTTATGGGTTAAACAAATTAATATACTCTTCTATTTATAATTTGATTATAAAAAGATTATTTTCGATAAAACAATTCTCAACGAATAGTTCGACCTATTAGAAATCTTCAGAGGAAAATCATTGACAACATTGATTATTAATTTTCACTTATACATTCTTCGAACTAACTAAATATTTCTCAAGCTGATTAATTAACTTAGCCCTTCTTCTTCCACAGTCGAAACTTTTAAATGTTTAGTTTCACATGCAATTTTGAATTTGCTAGTAATTGGAACCAGATATCTGGGTAAGAATAAACCTTGGGTTATAAACTATTATAAAAAAATAAAAAACTGAGATCATTAGGTGTTATTACATTTTGGGCTTACAGGCTTGACATTTGATCTACTGCAGCAGTTAAAAATAATGAAAATAATGAAAAGTTTAAAATGATAAACGACTTTTGCTTATTGACATTTTTTTTTTTTAACAATCATCTTTAATTTACATTACAGTGTTAACAATATAAGCGATTCACCACTGTCAATGTATTACCTTATCCGAATCAGTAGATACGTAGCGACTACTTAACTGGTTATTAAATTAAAAGTTGTCATGTTTTGAATATTATGTTTGGTATTAAAAACACTCAAGGTCCTGCTCGTAAAAAATTCAAAGTCGCAAAATATGGGAAGTTTTTTAGTTTTAATTATGTTAACAGTATTTTTAGATTGATTTGTTATACCTAATAAGTACAATTTATAACGTAAATTGTCTTATAACGTGAACTAACTATTTTGGTGGTAAAAACATACTTCACAAGAAAATCACTCGCACCTCGTGAAGTAGTCCAATTACAATATTTTTTTCTTTTGTCGAAACGAAGAAGACATTTCCCATAGCGTGCATGAACTTTTGATTACGTTACTAAAAACCGAAAAAAAGTATGAGTAAAAAATGTGTGAAAACTGGTTATAATCAAACTCATTTTAAAGCGTTGAGAAATTTGAAAATCTAAGTCCAATGCACTCAGTAGGAAGCCTTCCGCTTTCAAACATCAAAAACAAAATATTGTAATCAGGCGTGAGAGTTTTATCCGTTCTACCCATAAAAGCCGGTCGAGCGCAGACGGGTTCTTTGATTAAAATTAATGCAATCGATATCTGCGGTATTTGTATTAATAATAAAACACACATACAACTTAAAACTATTATAGAAAGGAATTTAAAAAAAAAAAAAACAATATTTTAGTTACATTTTAATGGTAAGCCGGCGCTTAAGATATGCAATTTTGATACTCGAATGTGTGATGAGCTTGTTCGTGTGGGTCGCCCATTCACAAGAGATTATTTCTTAATAATATTGTGTTCATAATGATTCTCTTAGCAGGTTGTGCTTTAGCGACTTATACGTCTTTAATTAATTTACGTTAAATACATTTTATACATAAAAGTGTTACATTTTTTGTATTCATTTGATACATTCTGACTTAGAGTAAACGGTAATACTCTAGTAATTGTTTTGTAATCAAATTCCCTCTAACTAAACTGACCAATCTTAATAATTTTACGAATGAGACAGTTTTGTACAAATAGCTGGTATATTAGAACCACTGTAACTAAAAACATCAGAGAAAAAACAAAAAATTAATGGCTCTTGTCGAGAGAAAATTAAAAACTAAAAAATCTGTAAATCATCTGACTTGTAATATATTTTACATCCTTGTAATTATAATATTTAACTAAATTAGTTCCAGTAATAAATATTATCCAATTATCTTAATACTTTTTTTTTTTATTATTAGCTTTTATTGGGAAATATGATGGCTCTACTTGTTCTATAAGTTTTCTATTTATTTATTTAATTCCTACTTTGAAAAGTTATATTCAATTTGAAATACTTCAATTCGGGATTAGTAAATAATATGAATTATTGATTTGATGTGTGTTTATAGAAAAAAAAAAGTTTGGAAAAGCTAAAAGTTTTGTGCACATGTCACTCCGATTCGGTTATTACAAAAGATGAGTTATCATACTCGACGGCAATACTGCATTCAAAAGCCTTTCCAGTCCACTAGACTATGCTTGGCAGTTTTTCAATTCAGACGGATAACTAAATAATATTCACAAATCATTTTCAAGAACACTAATTTATGACGAGTTAATTTTAAGTATGTCAAACTAAAATAATTTGTAGAAATCTCCCATACGTTAAAATATTTAAAAAGTGTATAGACAAAAAGAGTTGCTGATACACAGCTGATATTTCACTAATTAATTACATTTGCGTTAATGAGGTTTATCCATTTCGTTCCTGGGATATTTTTTTTTCGAAAAAAAAATCAACAGTTTTTTTACATATCGGACTGATATTGGTTATCAATATAGCTGTGTCGATTATTTTATATACTCTCTTTACATAGTTTTCCGAGTTATAAATTATAATATTTAATTTTATATTTTTTTTTATCCAAACACTATTTTTTATGTGACACAGATTTTACACCTGACACAGTAGGTAGTAACATAAGTGTCTCTCTTTTTTTTTTGGAACTGGTTTGTTTACATATTTTTATTTAATTATTTTTCGTCAATGAATTTCGATATGACCAGAACACCTATTATTATTCTTTTATTACCAAAAATGTATATACTCAAAACGATTTATTTATACATACATTAACAAAATGTATTTTTGTATTGATGAGAATGCTGTTTGTTGGCAACCCATATTTGAGGGCAGGACGCCAAATTTGTTTTTCTTTTGGTTGTAAATTTAAAAACATATCTAAATAAATCAATTGGTTTCCGAATAACAAAAATTCTAAATTATACAGATTTTTAAATGTTTTCTATGTTTTATAGGTACACACTATATGTAGTGTTGGCTCATATGACTTAAACATTTTGTTTAAAAATAATTGTACAAGCGCTTTCTTCTAGATAGGATTTAACCCACCAAAGTGATTATCTGCTATTTGAAGATACAATTCACCTCTATTTGTATTTGACCGGATCTCCGGCTCGTGATTTACATAAAAACAACAATGAAGCGTTTTGTTTACCGAAAGACATCTGTGTAAATAAATGGCCGCAAGCTGTCATTACGTGAACACGGTAATATACACGTGTCTCTTTTTACTTTTTAATTTAAATATATTTAGGGCAGCACAAATCGTTTCATTACGAATCGCCGAAATAAAAAAAAACTGATTTATTATAATTTATAGTTAACGTTGAACAAAAATGAATATACGCGAAACGTGTACCGTTCAGGTTTTATTTTCCGTGTAATTTCAAACAATCCGTTTAACAAAAAAATGATTTTCAACGCATGCGAACGGTATATTATATTAGACAGCATTCTGGCCTTGTAATGTACAACGTGTATTTAATGTGTTCAAATGGGTTCAGCAAATACATTTTTACCGAAATTGGGTTAACTTTTTATCTAGAAATTTAACTACTTCGATTACATCCAATGACATCTTGATACGACACCGGGATAAACAATCTACAATCGCTGTTTTGCCGCCTGAGTTATGATACCCCTCTGTAAGATGTATCAACGCTATTTGTTTAGATTTTCAGTGGCTTTACTTTTTTAATAGCGGAAACTATTAGAAGAATTTGTTGAATGTGGATACATTTACATGCCACCAGACTCTTAATCTACTTTGAAAGATCATTGTCAGCTATATAAGTGTTGCACATTAACGCTGGTAAGATTTTTGAGTATTTAAATGTAATTTTGCTCATTGTTCTAGGAAAATAAACACATTTTTTCTAGTACATCAGACATAAACATATTTTGTTTAAACGTATAAAATTGTTTTAAATATTTAATCCAGTTTATTGGACATTTTTTTTACCATTTACAATAAGCAAAAAACTAAAAAAAAATATCTGTTTATACTTCATTTTACCAACGATATTAGCTCAATTGATAGATCAAGTCAAAAAAATGTATGTCTTACATTCAAAATAAAATTATTATAATATTATTGTGAGATTCATATATTGAGACATTACTTACACCATAATATAAGTGCACACTGAGGGAGTGTTACAGTCCTATTGTAACTTAAACGAACATTTTTCTACAATTATTCTCAATTGCCAATTTCTGAAAAAGCTTCTGTCGTAATATTTCCAATTTCCTTTGCTTAAATTATACTTATAACTATAGTTACCTGAAAATTCACTAAAAATTCTACCAATCTTCAAAAGTCGAATTGTGATGTGATTAAAATGACCGATTATTATTGGTACAACTCATTTTATTAAATTGTTAAATATACCAATTTTTCTTGCACTCGTCATTCATTATTTGTCACTGAAAAGCTATTTGGGGATGATTATATCGAACAATTATTTGTATCACTTGATTCGCCTTCAACTGTTCTCCTAAACTGATAGGCCACAACCTTGAGTTGTTTTAATCATATGGTAAATTTGTTAATTACTATGTAACAAATGGGATGATTATTGTGTATAAACGTTGGTAGGGTACTTGATAGCTTTTAATCAATGGACACAAAAAAAAAGGAATTATAAACAAAATATTTTGAAAACATATTTGTGATATACATACTGTAATGGTAAACAGATCTCCGAAAATAAATTATGGACTGAATGTGCTTCCGATTATACACAAACGAATCGGATTGAGAATACACGGGCGAAATAATTCCCAGAGTACCGTTTGTCAAGAAACTAAATCATATCTCAGAACACACAACCCGCGGTAAGTTCGGTAAGATCGGGCCAAAGACATGCCGACGAGGATGACGGCGGCCGGATATGGTTCAGATGGATTCGGAAGCATAGGAGAAACCCGTGAAGTCTTACCTGGTGACGGAACAGTATTACGCACCGATGGTGGTGGTGGTGGTGGCGGTGGTGATTGCCGAGATGGTAAAAGTAGCGGTGGCCGTAGTGGCAGTGGTTAGGGAAGCGATCGGCCGGCACTAGCGGCGGATGGAGGGGCGACCACTATGTGAACAGAGGGGGCAGCCGCAGATAAAGAGTATGATATATCGTGTATATTATGATCACTGATGCAGCAGCGGGTACGCGGCCGGCGGCGGAGGCGGCGGCGGCGGCGGCGGCGGTCCGAGTGCAACAGTCGTCATGGTTGCGGCGGCGGCGGCTAAGCCCCGTCACGCCGTCACGTTGTGTTCGCAGCGCGCCGTCCTACCCTGCGGTGCTGCGGCGTCGTCGTCGTCGCCGTCGTCGTCGCCGCTGTGGACGTCGACGTCGACGGTGGTTCCGGTGGCGGTAGGGCGGCCGGCGGTGGCGTTCGAAAACCGGCACTGGGGCTAGGGGCCGGGGGAGAGACGCGCGAAGAGACCAGCAGCGTGGCGGGCGAGCGCGTCACCGGTGTGTGCGTTCGTCGTTTGCGCTACGGCGGGAAACCACGGCCAAGTGCGTTCGCGTGTGCGGTCCACGGCGCCGGTAACAAGATACTGTCGGCTGCTGGACGCTTTCGGCGGCAACAGCACCAGCCGCCGCTGCCGAGCCCGTGCAACCCTAGGCAACGGTACGCCACCGACGGTGTACTCCAACACTATCTGACAGATGCGAAATGAATCCCCCCCCCCCCCACCGGAACCGCGACTGTCGGGGTCGTGATTACGATGGTTAATTTTAACACTTTTTTTTTTTTTTACTTAACCGAGACCTTTGTCACGTGATAAGCAATTTGTCTGGAAATCGTCTACGTAGGCTTTATATAGAACAACGGCTGTCGAGTCTGCCCCGCTATGGCTTATCATAGACGCAACTAGTGCGGTGATAAGAAGTCGTTAGTATTCCGTTAGAAACGGTAATAATATTAGTTACACAAAAAATGTACAAAAATACAATGAGCCAATCGTGGATCGGTATTTTGATAATTAATGAAGAACTTGAAATCTGTTAAACCCTTCAAAAATAGTCAAGTAAACCAGACAAAAGTAGCTTAATGTTAATCTTCTTTTCCTTTTAACACTATCTTAATTGTTTTTTCCATTTTGTATTCGGTTTTGGGTTCTATCCTCAGTCCACAGTGTTAGCAACCCTAAACAAGTAAATCTTGTTGCGCTTATGCTTGTTACAGGTCTATTTTATTCCAAATTGCGCTTTTTATGTTCATCAATGTATTGAATTCTCTTTGTTTTTACATAATATAATATGTTTATATTTAGATGTTCACCGTACGTACACGTATTTGTTGAACGGTATGAACGGTGATTTTTAAACATAAAATCTAAACATTTACATTATAAATTATAATAATATAAAACATGTTCATTGTTTTTTTTTTCATAATAAAACTTTAACAGTTTGTGTTGTTATCCAATTGTGTTTGACTAATCACTTCAAATGAATTACTTATTCCGTCGCAGTGCGAAGATATTTATTTGCAAAGTTCCATTAATTAATCGCGACAAAAAAATTATCACTTAAAATATTATTCTAATCCCAGTTTAAAAATAAATAACTACGTCCCCATTTTCTTGTCGTTAGTCTTAAGAGCATTGTTGTCATCAACGGTGATGAATTTCTATAATTATAATATGGTTTATATATAATAATTAATATTATTCATTATCTTTCCCTTCTTTGAATCGCAATACTGCGATATTTTCCAAGCGTTATACAAATTAGCAAAAGGCAAATTTTAATAACCTATTAAGTATTAAACAAGAGCATTGAAATGTAAATACCGATTACAACATACAATTGGGTAACTTTACCACAGTGTTTTCAGAAAAATAACGTTTTGACGTTGGAGAAATTTCAAAGTCCACACAATGTACTTATAAAGAAAACTGTGATCGTTTGTACTTAAAAGAAATACAAGCAATATGGAAAACGATAAGTAGTTAAAACGTTTAAAAACGTCACGTCTACACTAGCTATACAAATTATATATAACCAAATGTTTGTATGTTTTATCTAATACTTGTGAATGAACTGCTGTGGCTTTATCCATAAACATTGTATAAGCGAGAACCGTTTTTAGTATATTAATCTGAACATAATGACTACCAAAGGATCAAATACGTAAAAATGTATTTTGTTCAAAAACATAACCACGCATATGTTATACCAGTATCAGTGGCATATAACATATTATTCTAACATTCAACAAGAAGAATTTGTGTATAAAAGTTTTAGTTATAATATACGTTTTCAATAGTTTTGGCATTGCTTTCCCTTTTGTTGCTTATGAACGTTTTGACTTCTGAGTTCTACGGTTTTTATATTAATACCAAGAAAGTATCTTCTTCGACATAAAACGTGTATTTATAAAAAATGAACATAAATTATTGAGGAAATGTTTGTAAACATTTACACAATTTTAAAATCAAACGCGTCGTATAATAGTATAGATAGTGTTTTGACATTCCAATTTCCAAGTATTTGTAAATAAATCCTCTCAAAACGTTTTAGAATGGGTGCGCGTGTCTATTTCAAGATTTTCTTTTAATTGTTGTGTATTTTTATACTTAAGTGAAAACAAGAGATAGAGTAGTATATCATTTTTAAACTCCTACTAAACTCATATTTTTAGAAACGAGATCAAACACCAGACCTCAATAACAATATTTATAGGATAACGCCCAATTTAACAATTTAGTTTACGATATTAGTACAATGTTTTATTTGTTTGTCATAATATACAATTTACATAATTGCTATATAACAAACAATATCATATTTAAGACTTTAGTGACATATTATAGTATATAATTGAGTATATTAAACAAACACGCTTGTTATGACATTTAAACCGTGTAGAACGTATTAAGCAAAAATTTACCACGTATTCATACAATTTAATAGTTTACTATAAATAAATGTATAATAAATTGTCATTATTTCAATTATTTAATTTGTTTCTTATGGAATATAGTACAAAGTAGTACATTTTTTTAGACTAAATCATACCTACATACATTTAAATACAAGTGTGACGCTCTTATCATTTAACGTAAATAGTTTACCATGATAAATAGCATTGAGTTATTTCTAAACAGCAGATTAAAAAATGTACAAGTTGTACAAAAACAAATATTTATATTTATTTTCTGTTAAAAAAGGTTTTTTACGCGTAAATATAACTTTTTGTAGCAAAACAGATCCAAAACCTTTCCTTTAAGTACGGAGTACGTTTAAATAATTCATTTAAAATCGAGCAGCAGAAATACCAAGCAATACATTTTACTAATATCATCATAGGTAAATGTATTTTTATCTACGATGAATAATTTCACCTATATTTTCGTTAGAACGCGGCCAACATAGTGTTTACTGTTGTCTGTTAAGCGTTTATTTTTATAATAATCGGCCAGCTATAACCCAAAAAATGTGTTTTACGATTATTTTTTTTATACTTTCTTAAGTAAATAGGTATAGTTTCCAATAATTTACACTTAATATCCCTAACTAATTTTATTTTCATCAACAATATAATTAATAGAAGAATGGTACCAATAAACAATATCTGAATAATAACGAGTTTTAAATAATTATTTTAAAATAGTGCGTGATGTAGCTTTCCTCCCACCTTATGTCTAAACAACTTTTAACTTGAGATACAATATGGAATTGTTCAAAACTAGTTATCGTTCCTAAACCTATATTATAGTTTGTTATTTAAAAATTAAAAGTTATTGGCAATATAATTAATTTAAAAAAGGGGTATGTTTAAGTGTATTCCAAAAAGTCTAAACAAATTAATTTTAGGAAACAGTGGCAGTTTCTTTTTAACTAGTTTTTCATTAAGGCAAAGCAATTGAATTTTCAAACTTCAAAAAATCATTAAAATTTGAAAAAGAGTCTTTTTACCAATCACCCCTTAATTCGTGACCACCCAATACTACCATTTATAAATACAGTGTCTTTTCGATAGAAAGATTACTAATTTGAAGAAAAAAACGGGACTCGTAAAAAATAAAAACATTTAAAAATACGAACATTATTTTTATATTGATATCTTCTCAGCTCTTCAGAGTGTCAGAAAACTAAAACAAAAACATATTTTCTTATGCAAAAACTATAGACTTACTGAAGTTACTAGTAAGTATTTGCCTCTCTCGTCGATAAAAAGTTTATTTTTATTTTGAAAACGATGATGAGAACCCATGTTTTATTCATAACCATGGCACATAAAGACAATTTTTGTTCTTGAAACTATATCGGATGGCTGTTTATTGATTTATTATTATTTATGGAATTTCATAAATTACCTCACGTGGCCTTATATATTAATAATGTACTACATTAAATTCAGATACACTTGTAGTTAAGCCTGACATCAAAAATATGTTTAAAACATACATTTTACATATAATAGTTGTTAATTTAAGTGAAATTATAATCATTTCTGATTCCAAGTATTGTGAAAAGCCATGTATAAAACATATTTTGTTTAGTTTGTGTATGGGTATTAAACGACATTTGCGCTAAAACGTTTTTCGTACACATTAAAACTCCTTTCTTTTAATACTTTTCCAAGTTCCGATAAATTCGTTTTATCTATTTAAAATTAATTTCTTTAACAGATTTACGACTCAACTTCAGTAAAATTTATATTTTTAACTATCTGGAAAAAGTATTCGAAAAAATCTACCTAAAAATATCAAATTAAAAAAACAGTTTTCTCTCCGTTACAGGGGTACAAACTCTTATTGTTTTTTTTTATCACCAACGGAAGGAATTTAGAAGTTTTGAAAATGGGTCAGTATAATGTATTCCAAAATATGCTAACACGTTTAAATCCGATTAAGTTATTATTTTAGGTTAAGAAAGTGTCTTAGCATAAAAAAAACAATCTTTTAAAGTAATAAAAATAATATAATTGGAAGCGCCAAATAACAAAAAATTCTATAAACTCATTCATTACTGGCATGTTGGCCAACATTTTAATTTAACTCTTTAACTTAAAATAAATTATTTCAAATTGTTATACATAACAATACAAGTTACGAGTTGAGAATCACTCAGTCTAATGTTAACACTAATTTATGCACTAGTATAGTAATAATACTTATAAAATACCTATTCAAAACATTTAAAAAGCTTATCTAATTTAAAATAAAAAATCGTTATCTCGTAAAACCTAGTTATTTTAAATAACCAATTATCTGCGTTTGTGGAATTATCAACTTTTGGCTCATCTCAAGGTTATCAAGTTTGAACGTTTGTATTTGCTTACAAGTGTCAAAAACGTGTAGAAATTTCGATGAGAAAAAAATATCATAAGCCCTTTCCCCCAGAAGGAATAGAAATGTTTTCTTTATTTCACTTTTTGAAGCAGTGTTAGGGATTTAGGCCTGAAAATTGGACCGAAGGTAGATCTAGAACGGAACATAACAATTTATTAACATATTGAACTTAAAATGTACAATTTTCTCAAAAATCTGTAGTCAAACATTTTTGTATTGAGGAACAACAAAAAACGGGGAAAATTCTAGGTTCCTGCGTTAGAGTGAATCAACAGTCAACGGTACCCGACCTTTTTCCCTAATCGAAATTCCCCAATGACCTTTTTCCCGAATGGTATTTTTTTCCCGAAAGTCCGTAAACCCGATGCATGTCAATTGTAATGAAAATATGTATTACTTAAATTTTACATAACAATTGTACCATTTATTGTGCGCGGTTGCTCGTAGAAATTCCAACTATTCGCTGCTCCGGTTGGCCCTCAGCCTTTCTTCGCTTCAAGGAATATTTGACGATCTCTGCTTCACACTCATGTTCGTGATCGGCCAATATTGTTTCTCGTACGAAATAATTAGTTTATTTTCAGTAATTTCTGACACTCCCAGGATGTTTTGCCTGGTAATTTAGACGGCACGTAAATAAAACCGCCATAAATTAATTTTGTTTCACCGAAATTTTAATTTCAGCCACGATAAAGAAATAAAATTCAAAAAATATCTATCAAATAAACTTGTAAATTCGACATCTAAATGTCATCTACAGCTGACAAATAACTTAGCAACGCGCGCTGCTAGGGGAAGAATTTTGTTGATATCGCCCATTTCCCCCCCCCCCATTTCGGAAACAATAACCGTCGGGAGAAAGGCATTCGGGAAAAAGGTTTCGGGTTTACGGACTCCCGGGAAAAATACCGCGAACTACAGTCAACAGGTATTTGATAATATTTTCATTATACAGGGTGATTCTTTTATCATGAACCACTCAATGTCTCATAGGGTTTAATAAGAAATTAAAATATATTTTTTTTTCATACTGTTGTTATACAATGTGATCTCAATTTTTCACAATTTTTTTTTGTTTTCACCCCCTCCCAATTTAGTTTTTTTTTTGATAGCAACTTTTGAAACTTAAATGGTAACGTATATATTTTATTAACTTTTTATGTTGAGAATAATGTACTAAAAATGTTGACTGGTCAATAACCAGTTTCGGATAACTATTTTTAAAGTTATAAGAGTTTCAAAGTTAAGATGGGAGGGAAGTGCGGTTGGGAAATTCGCGCAGATAAAAATAATACTACACTCCTCCTTTCCTTGGTTAGATTAGGTCCACCCTGTGGAATATGTGTGGCCAGATACCAAAAAATCATGTTACATATCAACACTTCAACACGATTTTTTCTCCCGATTTCAAATTTGAAATTATTTTTTTCGTATGACAATTTTTTAATGAGATACGAGTTGTATTTTAAATAATTTTAAAATTAAAAAAAAATGAATACCATTTATTGTACCCATAGAGCATCCTGAATGTCTCATTTGAAGCTCGGTAGAACTTTACATTACACCCTGTATATATTTTAAATACAATTTATTTTTACTTCAAAATTAAATAAACACAATATCTGTTATATCCGAACAGAGCTTGGCTCGTCCATTAAAATCCTTAGGTTCAAACAAAATGATTGGCAGCCTCGTTATTCGATTTAAGACCACTTAAAAAGCGTTTTTATAAAAATAAAGTCATCACTAAATTACACATTTTATAACTGAACTTTTAATAACCTATCTACTATATTAACCATAAACTAAGGCGTCAAATTAAACATAAACATTTTTTTTTGTTATAATATGCATAGTTTAACATATTCTCTGTGGGGGCTAAGAGGCCGATATTTTATTTATTTTTTCATAAGGTTTTTATAAGCAAATATATTATTACTTTGTTTTGTATTTTATCTAAGAAAGAAATCTAACTAATTTTATTATTGTTAAATCAAAAATTGGCCTTTTAGCCCCCATAGAAAATTAGTAAGGTTCATGTAAAAAACAAAATTAAAAACCTCACAATATGTCAGAAAATGACTTCTACGAAAGTCGTTTTTCACGTTAAAATTATTAATCGGCATATTAAAAATTGGCAACTCAATGGCAGATCAATTTTTGACAAATATTATTGCCTATCCGTTGCTCCTTAATAATAGCGCTTTCCATTCTCCTTGATTTAATACTATATTTTATTATTAAAACTTTATTGTTTCTTAGGGTCCTATTTATTTTACATTTGTTATTTACACTTACATTTTTATTTTCTGGAAAATTACTTTTTTTTTCGGAGAACACAGTTTATTAGACAATTGCATAATTAGCCAATTTATATATTATTGAGATAAAGTATACGTTTTTATAATTGGTGCCTACTATACAGCTTTTTTAAAGTTTGTCGAAAACATAAATCCAATAAGCGATGCAATTTCTTGTTATTTTTATTGATGTCTTCTGCTTAATTTTCTTTTTTTTTTATACACATTACTATTGATTATACATAGTAAGAATAATCGATGATTTTATAAGAATTTTTTTTTTCATTACCACTCATTACTATGGTTTCAAATGTATTAGACTGAAAATATAATAGAAATTATCAACATTATGTAAAGGACCATGTTTACTATATTGATATAATAAAATAACATTATTGTTATCGAGTATTTTTATTTGTTACCTCTTTTAAATAATTGTAACCTTTATTTTTTTTTCTTAATATAATACTACAATTTGTTATTTAGCAACAAAATAAAAATTATGTCTATTTTTATTACTTAACTAATTAATATTTGATAATCGACTTGCATCAAAAATCACTAACAATAAGTATACAGACTTTTATCATAACACAACAAGTAGATAAGTTTTTCTACACTAACAACTGTAGACCTTAAATATTAACTTCAATGATCGGTCAAGTCCCTCGACAACTTACAGCTCAGAGAACCATAAATCTATAATGAAAAGGTATAATATAACTACTAAACCGAGAAAATTTATTTGCGCCCTCCAGATGTGCAATTGTTTATGTTTATCGGGGGAAAACTCGATTTATGTTTAATTAGAACCAAGTATGCCTAACGGCCCACTCAAGGTGAATAATAATACTTATCCAGCCATATTTTTTCATTACGGAAGCAAAAACTGGAAGTACAAGATGAATCTTCATTTAATACTATGTTTAACTTCAAGGAACAAGTAAAACAATAAACATCCGTTTTGTAATGGTACATGTTTTATTTTAAATCATAAAAAGAAAGACAAAAACGTACAATTAAAAGAAAAATCCTAAGATTTTACCTCCTAAATGTTTCCGTCTGGCTTCTTCGTGATCCATAATACCACCACTAGTTGTCAACACAACAAATCTAAAAAATAAAACAGAAATACAATTAATTAATTTACATAGTTACTTCAACAATTTGTTTTCAAATGTATAAATCTTATATTATTATTTTGGTCACTTAAACCATTAATAAATTATTAGAAGTAAAAGAACCTTAACACTTATTGTATAATTAGTTCAAATATAAATAATTTATTGTTTATTATTTAGTATTTATTATTAAGATTAATAATTATAAACTTAAGTAAAATTTGATATTTAATCATATTGCAATATATCGTCTTTTAAAAAAAATTGCAAACAATACAATAACAACAACAGTTACTTTAAATAATATTGTGCATACAAGTTAGCAACATAAAGCCATAAGAAACTTTGCATTTGAAAATAATGTATGATTTTTATAGCAAGTTCATGAGGAAATTCTTAACAATAAGAATTTCTTGTCGGACCTTGCAGGTGGTTTATAGATAAATCTTAATATTTCCTTTGTAAAACAATTTAAAACAATTTATATCATAGTACTATTTAACAATGTAAAAATGTGCATACAAGTTAGCAACACATGATTAAAAACATCAATGCATTTGAAAATAATGTAGGGTTTTATTTGGCAAGTTCACGAGGAAATTCTTAATAGTAAGTATTTCTTGTCGGATCTTGCATACTATTTCCATTTTTAGCCTAATTTAACTAAGAAAAACATTTCAAAAGCAAATATTGACAAGCTAGATTTTTTTGCTATGCAACTTTATTGCTAAACAACGATACAATATGTTATATTTATGTATTTTAAATTGTATGAGAACGAGTGGCTAAGCGGGTAAGGCGTCAGTATGTTTGGCACCACCTGTCACCAATCCGACATTCTGTGCTCCGTTTGCCAAGTGAGAAATTGTCCGGTGAATAAATGACGTCACTCCCGTCTTCGAAGACGAATTAACCCATCTCGGCTTATAAACAGTTACGTAATTATACATTGTTTTATAATCCTCCCCATCAGAGAGAAAGTGTATGGCCGGCCTTAAGGGCCGATAAAATTATTAAAAACAAAAGTATATGGTGCTATTATTCCCTGACTTAAAATTCTATCATTATTTTAGGGTTTGACTTAATAGTACAAATTTTACATTTCGTTTTGCTACATTAATTTTTTTTAGAATATAACATTTTAAAAACAAACTTCAGTTAATATTGTTCAACAAATAAGACTTGTAGCATTCAAAAACATTGACTTGTGTCAACGAAAAATGTTTAAATTAGAATTCTGAGCAATTTAAAAAAAATAGATAAAGAATTATGTAATACACAATTTCTCTGTAATTTTCACAATATCAACACGTGGTACATAAATTATTTTTAAAAAAATTCCTATTTTTTAATTTTATAAAAAAAACTTATTTTTTTATTGATGACATTTAAGATGAATAAAACATAATATTAAAGATAATTTGATTACCATAAATAATTTAATTTAAATTATGTCAAGAATAATAATTTTTTTATGGATACTAAAGAATTAAAAATGGATTTTTGAAATTTTAATTTGGAAATTATACATACTTAACACTAAAATTTAACTTAAAAAATGTTACGGCTAAACTGTTTTAAATTTAACAACCATTGAACATTTTTTTCAAACATTACACTTAAACCCATACAATAAATAGTAAATTATGTATTACTCAAGTTTGAAAGGGTTATACAAACAGATTTTAGATAATAAAAATAAAGAACATTACACATTGGAAAAACATAATTTTCCCTGATAAGAGTAAATGAAATATTTGTATGTTTATTTGTGTCAACTTGCATATGGATTTAGTAAATAATTTGTAAAGACTTAAAAATAAATTATTATTAAGATATGTTTTTACAAGTTAGCAATGTAAAGACATTTAAATTCAATACATCTGAAAATATGCAAAATCAATTTAGCAAAGCTCATACAAGGAAATAAATAAAGTTAAATAGTTCCAAGGGCTTACAAAAGCAAGGCCTTACTTAAGCTTGCACACATCTAATTTGAGTCTAGAAATTCATAAATTCACATCTACATTAAAATTATATATTTATAAATTATAATAATAAGTACTACATACAGTTTTAAATATAATGAATATTTTGTTTAAAGCAGTTATTGATTGTTGCAATATTCCTGTTGTCAAAGTGGAATAAATGCAAGACTGGCTGTTTTACTAGGGCACAGTAAGCCATACAATTATCCCCCTATGACTACAGTAATTCTACTTAAACTCACTTTTTACAAATAGATATAAATAAGATTATTAATTGTGTTACCTACATTATCAACCGAGTGTTACATAATAAAATATTCATACTTAAAACAAATTAAACACAGAAGCGTATAATATAAAAAACAGTGCCATAAAATAAATTTAGAAAAAAAAAAAAATTATAATTACCCAAATTGTCTAGATGGCAGTAGTTGATTGGTCCACTTTTCAATATTTCTAATAGGTACATCAAATCTTGGGGAAATAACACCACACTTGTTCAAGCGACCAGTTAGATTTACAACAACTTTTCCAGCTCTATGGTCATCAACAATTTCAAACTCTCCAATATATCCTAGAAAAGATAAATATTTTTGTTGTAATAGTCATGGTCTCATTAAAATATTTCATAACAGCCAAATAATACCAATTGTCATATACTACAACTAAAAAAATAAAGATAATCAGTGATTTAACAAAATATTAAGTTTCTAATACAGTGTTATCTAAATCATTATCATTAAGATAACACAGTATTCGATTAAAAGTTATTCTGACAATTTAAAAAATAAAACCGAATACATTTTAAAATAATTATTTGAATAACATTTTATTTGAACACATTTTTTTTTTTATTAAGAACTTGCACAACTCTAATTACAATAGGTGTAGTCATTGGGTATACTCAGTGTTTAGCCACCTAAAGAAAATCATAAACTCATTGATAGAGTACACAACTTTTGTAATGAGTACATGTATACAAAGAAAAATGTAAAGGGCACACATACCTCTTAGAATCTTTCAACTACACCGTATAATAAGCTATAGTTAAATAATGTGCATACAAGTTAGCAACACATGATTAAAAACATCAATGCATTTGAAAATAATGTAGGGTTTTGTTTAGCAAGTTCATGAGGAAATTCTTAATAATAAGTATTTCTTGTCGGATCTTGCATACCAATTACATCTTTAGACCAAGGTAATGTAAAAAATAAACATTCCAAAAGCTAATAAATTGACAAGGTAGATTTTATGCTATGTACCATTAGGGTGGTCCTTAGTCATAGATGAAGAATTTTTTTTTTAAGTTTTTGAATGGGCTACCTCGTCATTTTGTTCATTACTATGAAAAAAAAATTTGGGTAGAGTTTGGTTTTGATAACTCACCCCCTTCACGTGCCGCAAGCGGGTTGAAAAATGACCAAATGGGGTAGTTTTTCGAGTTTAAATAAAAAACTATTGCATTTAGCATAAAATTACATATTAACTTTATGATAAATCGTTCAATTCTCTATAACAAAGGTTTTTACACATTTTTCCAAAAATGCATTATTATCCAAGAAAAAAAATAAAACATAATTTTTTTCATTTATTTGGAAAAACTGGTTTTCTACGGTTCTTTAAATATGTTTGATGAACGATTGGAAATCGAGTAAAACGCTTTTAATGCATTTTATACAAAATTAAATTGCCTAAAAAATAAATTATTAGGAAAAATTTCATATGATCAACCATTTTGTATTTAAAGATCGTTTAAACAAATATATTGTGAAAAACGAAAATTATTGTTAGAAAAAAAGTATAGAAATCGACCAGGGAACAAAATAAAATAATCATATGAAAAATCCTTGCGGCACGTGAAGGGGGTGAGTTATCAAAACCAAATTCTACCCAAATTTTTTTTTCATAGTAATGAACAAAATAGCGGAGTAGCCCATTAGAGTTTTAAAAGTTCATAAATAAGAACCACACTAACGTACCATATTCGCTAAAAAACTACACAAATTATGATTTAAAAAATATTCTTCATAAAGAATAATAGTGCTTTATTTGTTTTTTCCAATCACATTTTAAAGGCATAACAGTATTTAATACTATAAATATGAAATTAGGTAATTTACTAAAGTTTAGTTCAGTTATCTATTAGTTTAAGTTTATCAAATTTACAACACAAGATTTTCATTACCTAAAAACCACTAATCCCAACCTTTACTTAATTGTTGGAAAAGACATAAAAAATTATTATGTATGTCCGCTTAAAATAGAACTATAAATTTAAATAAATATAAACATATTATAATTTTTGATAAACAAATGAGCTAAACAATTTTACAAACTACCTACTAAATAAGTCAATGTTTTTAGAAAAATAGTACTTATAAATTAATGTTTAGACATATTTATTAGGTGTACGGAACAATTCAGTAAAATCAAAAAGTAATGTAACATCATATCAAAGTAAAGAACCCCTGAATATCTATAACAATAGTATGAAAAAACAAGAATTTTAATAAAAAAAAGTTAAAGCATACCTAATTTTTAATAAATAATGAAACAGAAATTTACAATCCTGAATTTCAATAATTTGTCCGATCTATTCATGTTAGAATTAGGAACACTAAAAAAATAGTTTTTAGAAGGTTATTTCTGCTAAAAAATTAAAAACTAACTGCTAATTTGATTAAATTCACGAATTTAAGTGTATTAACTTAAAACTAGTATTGTAATATAGTTACTAACCGTGGTTCATCATGACTTTTAAAAATTTGACGATGACTTTAGAACACGGCCTGATTAAAACTTGGCGTTTGCCTCGCTTTTCGGCGTTGTTAATAGATTTTAGAGCATCGCTCAATACATTCATGCGCACCATCTTGAGACTTTATGTGTAAGACTTGTTACCTGAAAATAAAAAAAATATTTATTAAATAATTCACACGATAAATTCGCCGTTCAGTATAGCTAACGACCGAAGATTTTAATAACACAAATACAAGTTAAATAATATTTTCCAATGACAAAATGAGATGTTTGAATAGTTAGTGAAATAAAAGATCGTCGATATTCTACAACCGAAGACGTCTCGTTTTGATTTTACCAAATTTCTTAAGCACAAGGGACATAAATCGCTAGAAATGGCTTTACAATAAACTTAACAAATAATTACCAAGGATTGCGATGGATGAAATTCAAATCTCAAGTTTAGAAGTCCCGATACATCACAATAAGAGCGTTTCCGAAGTAAAAAGACTGTAATCGAGAATCCGTCCGGTTGTCAGCAGGGCGCACAAAATAGGAAACACAAAACTCAAGTGATTGAGGTTATGTTTATGTGGGGTTATTTGATAACTAGGTTTACAATATTTTTGTTGTAATATTGTATTTAGTTTACAACTCGTGCGATTCTAATGCGTAAAAGTAATTTTCAATTTGTTAATTAATCAAGTCGAAATAATATAACGTTAAATTGTTGATTTTTAGTATTTATGAATACTGCCGTGTTATAATTGTAGTTAAGTTGGTAACACGTTACAGGCGGTCAGTTTAAAATACTATGATTCATGAAATTGCACCATCAGAACTATACGAACTACGAATTAACTAATTTTGTTCACGTTTTGTATTCATTGAGTTTAAAATTTTGATTAACCATGCATAATCTTGTAATATCATACCATGTTTGATGTTATAATCTTATAATTCAACATAAAAAATGTATTATATGAATTGTGATTTAATTCGTTAGATAATAAAAGTAAGTCATACTTTTAAATTTTGCTACACCAATTCATCGTAAAGACGTGATTTATAACAGAGGAATTCATGTGTAAATGTAACTCAATATTGTCAATTGTTGAGTCACATACTATGCTAATGTTTTTATGGTCCATTGTGCAATGCTTAAGATTTAAGAACTAAAACAATTACTTTTATAGTTCATTAATAAGCTATTGAGCACCTGGCCGTGTGTGTATATATATATATACAAAGTGATCATTTTAACGTGAACCAACCAATATCTCATAGAGTTTAATAAGAAATTTAGTTTTTTTTTAATAATGTTTTAGACAATGTCTCCACAATTTTTTTTTTAACCCCCCCCCCCTCTTATCTTAGTTTTTTTATAGAAACTTAAATTTAAACGCATACATTAACTGTTTAAATTGATAATAAAGTACTAATAATGTTTGACTGGTTGATAAACAGTTTTGGATAACTATTTTTGAAGTTTAAAGTTTAGGGCAGGAGGAAAGGTGCAGCGTAGTATTATTTTTGTATGCGTGCACTACCCCTCCCATCCTAACTTTTAAACTCTCGTAACTTTAAAAATAGTTGTACAAAACTGGTTTGCAACCAGTCAACATTTTTAGTAAAATACTCTCAATTTAAAAAGTTAATGAAATGTATGCAATACCGTTTAAGTTTCAAAAGTAGCTATCAAAAAAAATAAGTTGGGGAAGGGGGTTAAAACAAAAAAAATTATATACATACATATATAACATCTGTTAGGTACTGCTAATTAGAATTTTCCAGCACTACCTAACCTCCAACTCAAAGCTGTATTGAACTGTTATAACTTACAATAAGAAATTAACACGGTAAAACTTATTTTTCCAAGTTTGGGGCAAAATAACCTTGCACAGTAGTATCTAGTAATCATGCTGTTCAATTAATTGTGGGTCTTATTAACACATTAAAAAGTAATCATAGAAAAATTGTTTTTTACAATACCTTATCTTAAGCAATTGCAGTATATTTTAATACTTGCAAAAATTATTTTAAACATATACATAATTTGTTAAAAATCTAAAAATTATTTCCTAACTTATTACAATGGTAGAGGATTAAAAAATACTACTTCAGTTTTTTAATAACATATTATATTACCACTAAATATCAATGTTATTAATTATTTATAAAAAATTAAATAAAAGATAAATTCTAAAATTAAAATATAAATATTCTACTACTATAAAAATCTAACAAAATTGGCAATCAAATATATTTTTTTCTGTATGTATTATTTTATAGTTATTAAGTTAATATTTTGCTTCAATTTGCTTATACTCTAGTATCTCTATTATTTAATATGTAAGATTATACTGTTTCAAAAGAGAATATACCAGCAAAGAGACCAACAAAACAAGACAGAACAGTAGGGAGTAACATGTTTTAGTTTCTTCACAGTATATCTTTAAAACATAATATCTAGAGGTCTTAAATGTATAAATTACTTAATAAACACACACACACACACATACACACATTTCAATTTGTCAGTAATACACATTAGAGTCAAAATAATAAGTTGTGTAGCACTAGTAAATTATAGTGGAGATAGAAAGTAGTTAAAGTAATATTTATACTTAAACGCTAACGTATGATACAAGAAGTTCAAAAATTTTTAATTTTTGAAATTAATAAAGTAATTAAATTACAAAAAAAAAATACAAGTCTTTTATAATAAGTATTAAACTTTATTGGCATGATAATCAAAACCCCAATTATGCTTGATGGCTGCAATCGCGCATTCTTTCTTGGCCATTTTCTTTGTTGATCCTGTAAAATATTAATATATTAATTAATATTTACCATAATTACCTTTTATACAACATTATATAAAATTATAATTGAGAAATTTTAACTTGGCACTCAACCAGATCATACAAGGCAAGACGAGCATGAGGTCTTATGATGTTTTTGCTTTATAGAGAGAGCTATATCCCCTTGATAACTTAATAAATATTAAGTTATCAGCCAGCCATTATTATTATATAAAATGTCTTATTAATAAACAAGTAATAAATAAAAGTTGTTATTTTAATTTAAATAGCAACACTCCAAAACATCTGTTAAGGGTTTGTTATAATAAATGTTCTTTCTAATACACGCATATATAAGTTATAACATAATCAAATTTTTGGAAATGTATATTTTATATCATTATTACACGTTTTTTTAATCTGGTCAGTAAATTGAAAGTTAGTTATATATAAATTATATATTTAAGTCAATTATATAATATGATCTTACCATATAATTTTATTTAAATATTATATAATATTTTACAATATAATAAGAGTTACTTTTATGAGTTAACTGTCAGTTTTACAAAAAATTAAGCTAATATGTTAATGTTTCAATTTAAAGAGCTATTACAGAAATACATATATTTTAATAATTTATTCATATCTTATATTGTAATATTTTGTTCATTATCGTACATGTTGTTGGTTTGTTTAACCTTTTTAGACCAGAGGTTTTTAAGCTTAAGAGACAGTGATTTTCAGTTTAAGTTTTAACTTTGACGTGTAGTTGAGAATGTATTGCTTTTACAATAATATGTTTTTTCTAAACTTCTGAACCGATTTTTTCATGTAGCAACTCTATAGTTCATGAATCATACTTAAATGGCACTTTTTTGGCCAAACAATTTTAAATGATCACTACTTCCCCTTCAAAATAGATAAAAACGCCCAAAATATATTAATATTTTTCACATATACCATTTTCTTTCAAATTAGTTGTCACTTTTTTTTAATTAAAGAAAAACCAAAATAAGGGAAAATTACACTTTGACACTAATAAATATTTAGATTGTTAAACTACAACTTTAGGTTGTACTGTGAATGCAATAGTCAACAGGTATCTAAAAAATAGTTATATTATATTTTTAATAATGATAAATGTATAGCATATAGTTATTTGTAATTCTACCATTTACAGATTCGCAATGGAAGTTTTATTTGAAAGTGATTTTATCTATTTTAGTTATAATAATTTCTGTGAAACTCCGTACCCACTATGCCCCGACCCTACTAATTGGGTTTTTTTTTGAAATAATGTAAAATATTTATTAATTTTTAATTTTTTTTACGTTCTCAACATCTAAGGTTATTTATTAGCCAACTTTTATACAATGAAAATTATTTCCAATATTATTTTATTATTTCAATGATAAATAACAAAACAAATCTGTAATCCTGCTTGTTTATGAATATTGTTAAAGAAAACATTAACTGAAAACAAAAACCTATGAATTTATTTAATTTAAAAATGAATTGAAAATCTAAATATATTATAGATAGATGAGTTAAATTTAGTAATAATAAATACCTTTTCCAACAAAGGTTGTGCCCTTTAGTTCACAGCTACATTCAAAGGAAGGAGGATTGTTGGGACTGATTGTTTTGTCACAGAATGTAATATCAGGTAATAATTGATGAAGTAACTGAACCGGGTTGTAGGCAGTAGGGTTCTCTGGGAATTTTTTCATACCAGTTGGCTAAAATAAAATAACAATATTTATTGTTTAATGATTTTTAAAAAGCCATGTAAAACAATAATGTACCTTTTTGGGGAGTTTATTTGTTTCTTCGTCTTGTGATATTTTTCCAACAGGCTGTAATTCCCAATGGGCAATTAAATTGTGCATAGCCAATGAAGCAAAAAGTGGCCATGGGAAATCTTCTTTAGGTTGACCTTGAGGTATTGTTGCTGCACTGGCAGATACATCCATATCTTCTTTTTTTGCTATAATGGGATATACACCAGTTAGTCCCACAGACCAAGACTCGGGGCCGGTTAGGTTAGGACCCATAGTTTTTCAAGTGATAGTTTGTATATATCTTTTCTTAAAGTTATTTATTGCTTTGGTCGGAGACATAATAGCATACATTTTTTTTTTTATAAGTTTAAGAGATTTAAACATGATCTATGAACGTAGTTGGAGAGTTTTGTACCCAAATAAATGATACATACAAAGATGAAAAAAAAAGAAAAATCACAAAAAAATGTCCCGATGGTAACAAAGAAGGGTCGACTATACTTAGAGGCAAAGATAAATTTCTGGTTGAAACACACTATTTAATAATTGATAAATTTTGCCCAGAACTGGAAAAAAGAATAAACGTCTATAGTGTAATAATTGAACACTTTTTATTTGTAACTAGACTACATATTTTGGAATCTAGTAGTGATGTTGAGAAAAGTGTTAATACATTCATTAGTTTACAAAACTTATGTTGATGATTCAATAAAAAATGAACTAGTACATTTCAAGCAATTTTGGAACCAAAGTAAACCAGAATTGGATGGAAGTGATGTACATACAATTTTTGAGTGGATGGCTGCATGTAATATTATTAATATTTTCCCAAACATTCATATTCCTATTAGGATTTATCTTACTATTCCAATTGCACTGCAGAACGATCATTTTCGAATCTAGCCAAAATTTAAAAAAGGAATAGATCTTAGTTATCACAAGATAATCTATAATGTCCTTAACTATTTTATCCACAGAAAATGATGTTCTACAAAACTTAAAGCTTTAAAGAAACGTTGAGAGAATTTGCTTCACAAAAAGCAAGAAAAAAGACTTAATCCTATTTATTTTATTTAATTTTCATGTAATAATATATTTTTTATTTGTAGTTCTGTAATAATTTGCTTCACAAAAATCAAGAAAAAAGACTTAATTCTATTTATTTATTTTAATTTTCAAGTAATAATATATTTTTTATTCGTAGTTCTGAATTTAAACTGTTTAACAGGTATTTATGAAACAAAAATTAATTGATCAATGGTACCTAATATTAATTTTTAACAGTGTTATTTTATAAAGTTATGTGTACGCCAATGTGACTAATATTATAATGTTCAAGCATGGATTAGAACAAAATTTTTTGTTTTTCATTGATGGGGGCCCACAACTAAATATCGGCCCCGGGGCCCCTTCAGGTCTTAATCCGGGCTTGCCAAGACTTATAACTTAATTGTCAACATTTTTAACAGTGCAAGGACAATACTGTTGTGTACCTAACCTAACCTCCTCCTACTTTTCTATGGAAACGTTTATATATTATAACAAAAATGATTTACTTGACTCATGGGTACAATTTTTTTGTTATTACAAGTACACCCATACAAAGAAAAATGAGTTCACACACAGCGTATATTCAACGACTACAACACTGATTTACAATGATACATTTATACATAATAAAATGTCTTTTAAACGCCCATATACAACCAATTTATATCAATCAATATTTGATATTGACAATATTGATCAATTGGCTGTATTGAATAAGTTAAATTTATGGCGATGACATGATTAAAATATGCTACTGCAAAATAAGCAGACATATATTTTGTTGTGCAGAATAGTTACATCGTATGAAATATTTAAGAAGCCTTGATAGAGAGTAAGATAAAAACAGGTCGGCCTAATAGTATCTTCAAACAAAACATAGCCAAATTTGATAAGACGTTGTTAATGTTAGCGCGCTTACCAGGTGGTTCAGTCATTTTTTTCGCTAATAAAGTACGCAAAAAACGCTCGCATGCCTTTTGTTTAGCCTGTGTTTTAGACATATGTTCTCCAATGTAAGTTTGACCATCAACCTAAAAAATTAATTAAAATAAATATCATAATAGGTAATACAAATAAATAAATATAAATTTACCTCAATGGATGCAATATAAGTTGTATAACTAGTTTGAATATTCTCTTGCAGTTTAATGGGTACATTGTTACACATTTCACTGAAAACCATTAAAGGGCTTTTGGGACAGATTAGACGGCGCATTTTAGCATTCAACTTTTTTTTCTGTTCTTTCTTATTAATTTCTATAAAAATAAAAAAATACAATTTAATAAAGAACTATATATTAGACTGGTTCGTTCTAAATGTATTTTATAATTTTATTTGCCTCCACAACGAAAAACGTATCCATCTATGTTAAAAACAGTGTCTGGTTTTTATTTTACAATCTTTTTCGGCTAGATGCAAAGGTATTCTTCATTTTCCATTTAAACGACACACAAGATATACTATGTTTTTTTTAATTACGCAAAACTTTGTACATTTTTAGGACACACGGTTTTAAATTCTGGCGTTTAAAAGCTTATGAAAAAAACCTTCAAGATTGTTTATAGCTATAGTGAAGTTTTGACTTATATTAAAAAAGACATTTTTTTAAATATTCCATAGATTTATTGGCTAAACTACTTGTCAAACGCAATCATAGTTATAATCAATCTTGTAGGTCTTTTTTTAAGCTTTTAAACAGCAGTAGTTAGAATCGTGTCTTAAAAACTTACAAAGTTATGCATAGTTAAAAAAAACATAGTATATCTTGTGTATTATTTAAATGGCAAATGAAAATACCTTTGTGTCAAGCTGAAAAAGATCGTAAAATAAAAAGCAGACACTGTTTTTAACCGAGATGTACCCATATTTCGTTGAGGGGTGAAAAATTAAATAAAATACATTTTTGAACCAGTCTAATACCTATGTTTTTAAATAACACATACTGGTTTTCGGAGGCCAAATCATTTTTGCTACTTTCTTTTCTTCCTTTGTTTGATCGCCTTCAGTGTTCTATATACCCAATGAGACAACATAAGCAAATTTATAATACGTGGCGAAGAAGTATGTTCAGAGTAAGACACATACACATCAGCAGAGAATACATATGAATTGGTTACTTACACAATAATAACTTATTTTATATTAAAATGTAAGAACTAAATATATAATCTGCTCTTGTTTATGGGGTCCATATTAAAGCTATGACACAACTCATCATAAATGATGTCAAAATACTGAAAGCTGAATAATATCTACACATATAAATGAAATTCATTTATAAATGTAGTATTAATCAATATGATTATATGGCATCAAATAAATGGTTAGAATGCCATTCTATTAGGTAGTTGCCAATCTATAATAGTAAACTAAAATTTAGCTTACTGTAAATACTTTAAAAAATGTAATGATTTAGATTTTTAATTTAAGTGCACAAAAGCATCAACTGATTTATGAGGATTTTCACATCTCCCCACCAACACTAAAGGGTACTTTATCATAACTTAGTTAAGCAGAACACTGAAAAAACATTCTGCCCATCCAAACTATAATGAAATAGCTCTCTGTCTAAAGTGGGAAACCTGCATCATACAGTTATGCCTATATACTTATGGAATTGAAATTGTTGGAACTTTTGACATACATTTAGATTATATTACACTGAGCATGTATCAATGAATTTAAGTCCAATCAGACCTGACGTCATCATGGTTTTTGTCATCTATTTTTCAAAGTTAAAACTGTAATAAAAAGAAGTTATTCTATATAAATTTAGAAAAAAAAATAGAACATATAGTCATTAATTTTGTTGTTAATACCAATACCAATAATTAGAAGGTTTTGATTTAGCAAGAGTTTGAATACTTTAAAAAAAAATGTTGGAGTTTATTATATTATCATTGGCAACTAGTTAGAGCTTAGAGCATACTGAATTTACATCTACGCAACACATTTTTGGCTTAGCTGTCCCAATATTTAGAAATTAATTTGCAATAAACACACACTACGTAAATTTCTCCAATATTGTTAAGTTTTGCTCAAAACTGCAGCATGACTCTGAAATAAATTTACTATAATTTAAAATGATATTCACTTAACTAAGCCGTTAGATACTAATAAAAATATTTTCTTTTAGCCTTTACTCTCAAATAGGAATTCGATAACGGAGAAGAAAAAATTTAGTAATATCTAACAGCTGGTATTTTATTTTATAACCTGTAAGAAATGCTGTTTCAATTTTGATAATGTTTTGAAATACCTTACCTAACCTCTATTTATCCTAGTATTTTGTTGCCAAATTGCTTTATGCAAGCTTATATATTAAGTAATATAAATATATATAAACAAAAATTAAATATTGAGTGCAACAATAGTCCTAACTAAACTGTCAGCTTTGACAAAAATTAATAATTTCAACTTTATTTAATAACTATTCAGTAAGTATAAAATAACAGACAAATTTAAAACATATGATTATTATTAAAACGATCTATGAAATAAACAAAGCAAAAATTTATCACCTGAACTGTTTCAGCTAAATCCAGAGCATTCTTTTCTGAAATAAGAGTTTTAGGCATTTCTTCAACAGAGGCGTTTGTTTTTACTGGATTAATTGATGCTTTACCAGTGTTAAAGTTTAGAACATTTACACCATTATTTTGTTGAGATTGAAATAGCATTTGTGCTGGATTTGATTTCTGTTAAAAAAAAAAAAAAGTTATAAATAAGAGACCTGTTCTTAATGAGGGCGTGACAGACATTTTTTTGGTCTCAACCCATCATTAGGTTCAAAATAATTGAAAAAAATCCTTTGATACAGTTCCCTGCATAATTTTGATATTAGCAGGTACCTCCAACAATACTCTTTTTCTTGTTTGAATAACACTATATATTATTTAAATTCAGTAAATATTTTTGCCCCGTCGGTAAATATTATATTAAAAATAGTGAACCTCTGAAACTATTATCTATTTGTCAACCAACTTGGATGTTCAATAGTAATTTCAATATAGAAAATTCCAAAGTTTTGAATAAGATGAACAAAAAAATTGACAAACAATGAATGAAAGTGAGTTATAAAAATGTACTATTAAACATCCAATTTGATAGATAAATAGATTGTAGTTTCATAGGTTTATTTTTTGTTAATATAATATTTACCACAGCGGAAAAAAATATACATATACCTACTGAATTTAAATAAAATCTAATGATATTTAAATTTGAAAAAAGTGTCGTTAGAGTCACATGTCATTATCAAATTAAGCGGGGAAACTTATCGAGGTTTTCAGTTATTTGGAACCCATTGAAGAATTAAGACCAAAAAAATTCTGCTATACCCTCATTAATGTTAAATAAACATAATAATAAATAAACATCAAACGGTTGATTGTGACAAAAATGTAAAACATACAGTTTCCAAAACAGGCTGTGTGATGAAAGTAGCAACTGTATGAGGTGTTTTATCCTGTTCCTGTTTCTTTTGTTGATAGCTTTGGCGAGTATCATAACCACTGCCTAAAATAAGAAAAATATTTATAAAGTAAGACTTATTATCTTAGATGATCTTTACAATAAAATCATTATTTTTTATATTATAATATACTATTACAAGTGAACGCACACTTATATAGTAATTGTGAAATAACAGCTGGTAGAATTCAACCTGAACTTAAAGATTTTATTTTAAAATGGCCAAGAATCAAAAAAATTGTTTCTGGTTTCAACATTATGGAAGAGCTGATTGAAGAAGAAGATTTTATTGAAAGTGATGATGATACAATGTTTACAGAAAAAGGTAAAGGAAAGGCCTGTCAAAATTGTATTAGGTGTGTATATGCTGTATTACATAAATATAACTTATATACTTCAGCCCATTCTTATCTTTATATGGTTTATAAATTTGTATTGACACTTTCTTATACACGAGTGAGGTGCGAAACCACATTTTCAAAACTTAAATACATACTAAACCGTTTAAGAAATTGTCTTTCTAAGCCAAAACGATTTTACTTCTTTTTAAAAAAGTTACAACCCAATATGTATACACACTATCAACTAAAATACTACTAAATCTATAAATTCTAATTACACATTTACAAAGTAATGAAATAATGTATGAATATTGCGTACCTGAATTTCTAGTGTACATGTTTGGAGTTCTCTTAGTTTAAACCGAATTAAATCTATACGAGAAACACAAACTATATTATTTCTTAATAGATGGACGTGCAGACTACAGACAAATCACAACATAGAAAAAAGATTAAATGAATCACAAGATAAGTAAAAGTATAATTTATAAATTCAAGATACCCCATACAGATACAGTAATTTATAAATTGTAAACATTTGTATGCAGTATCATTGATTATAAATAATATAGATAGCCCACTGGCATGTATTTTTTGCTGCGCGTTAATTGTTGCCGTTGTAGAGCGCTTTATACTGCTTTTAGTTATGGCAGTTAGTACCGTGAGCGCTGATGATCGACGCGCAGGCGCAATACTGCCAGGAACGACGTAGTGCGCCTGCGCGTCGATCGTCAGCGCTCACGGTACTAACTGCCATAACTAAAAGCAGTATAAAGCGCTCTACAACGGCAACAATTAACGCGCAGCAAAAAATACATGCCAGTGGGCTATCTATATTATTTATAATCGATGATACTGCATACAAATGTTTACAATTTATAAATTACTGTATCTGTATGGGAGATCTTCAATTTATAAATTATACTTTTACTTATCTTGTGATTCATTTAATCTTTTTTCTATGTTGTGATTTTTATTATAAGAAAAATATGCATTATGCGCGTTCCATGTATTCAGCTCAGTGGAAAGAATAGATAGAGTTGTTAGGTTTCCCATGGAATGAAAATTGAAAAGCCATGGAATAATAAAATGATATATATATACATATAAATATATAATAATTAAATCACATTTTATTATTATTTAATATTGTGTTATTCGAAGTTGTAAAGCATTTAATTATTTTAAGGATATGTATTTCATTATTTATTAACAAACAAAAGTCTAATGGTTAAAAAGTTGAAATATACACATTTAAGTGCTTATACCAGTTAAAACTGATATGAGCAAGTTATTTGATTTAGATCCACCAGAACATCGAAAATAAAATAAAGAACAGAATGGTTGTTTGTGAATAGTATATTTTAGACTATCTTACTCTACATTGTCATTGTAACCAATAGGCAAATCAACAATATAATGAACACATTTTCAAATACCTGTTGACTTATGATTCATTCGCACTTATAGAAACCTAAAAATTTGCTATGGCCATTATGTAATTTTCTCCCATTTTTATTTTTCCTCTGCGACTACAGTTTTTAAGAATATCTTATATGTAATTGCTTCCTCAAGTCCTAAAACTTCCCTAAAAATAGAAATAAAGAAAAAGTTTTCACCCCTTCTAAGGGAAAGGTTTTATGATTTCTTTTTTTTTATACTTTCTTCTTACTTCTAACTGTCTATAAGTCCAGATCGACGGGAATAACATATTAAACGTAAGAGAGAGAGAGAGAAATAGAAAAGATACCCAAAATGCTAATCGTGAGCTCATTTGTGGAGCATAATATAGATTCTATAAACTCACTAAAAGCTATTAATATTGAATAGCTATGTATATAGAGAAAAAGCTTTAAAGTGAATTTTTTTTTTTTAATCTACTGTTTTTTATATTTTAATCCGTCTTAGTTTAAAAGTGGTGATTTAATATTTCTTTTACTATTTTAATAATAGTCACTAAAAATTAAAATTAAAAAATTATACTTTTTTTTTTAGAAACGCTTTTATTGAGACATACAATCTGTAAAAAAATTTACAATAAGTATTTTTTATAATATTTACAAAAATATGCACATGATTACGCGAGGAGGAGACCCCACATTATGGGTACCTCAAAAACTTGTTTATAACAAATATCTGATAATCTAAGCAAAAATTGTGTTATAGAAAAGAATAAATATCTTTGACTATTTCATTGGTTCTTAAAAAGACTCAATAGTCTGTTGTGAGCACTGATGACGATAGCATTGCTACTGAAATATTCTAGCGTAAAACCATAGGTGTCTTATTTTTTGTAGAAAAGGGTTTTTTTTTAATTTACATGAAAAATGTATATATAAATAAAACAATACAGTTTTTAAGAAACAATTCAAATAATTTTATTAAGTAGTTAATAGACAGAATAAAGATACAACAAACATTTGTTAACATAACGACATTTCAATTGTAGAATATTATAACTTAATTAATTTTTTTCAAAGGAAAAACATGTTGGTACATTTTGTGATGTTATTTTTTATTCAAAATAAAATGGTCTGAGAGATTTATGGAAGGAATTGTCAAATAAAAATGATCCATAACTAACAACAAATTTCAAATTTACTAACAATGTACAATACTGTTGAGTTAGACCAGTGGGATATTTGGTGGGGGTTACAGGATTTAAATTCACTCAGGTGAAAATAAAAATAAAATCTTATAATTGCTTTTAGCAATATGATTTAATTACTTTAACGTTTCTTGGTTATCTTGCAAATATATTAAACCAAATTTGAATACATTTTTTTAGGATATTTAGCATGTATTTAAAGCGTACTTAAACGGGAACAATTACAAAATAACAAATGCTAAATAAAATAAAAATTACCAATTTATACACCCGATTATTCATTTAAACACGGTACTTAGGATTACGAAATATAATAAATATTTTAGAAACACATTAACACATAAATGTTTCAAAGGAAAAAGACTAAGTAAATTTATTTTTATTTTAGTGGTAGTGACCCATAAATTACTCTATTGATTGCGCCTACACAGGTTTAAAAAAATGTTGCTCATGGCTTCTTTTCTTTTAAACAAATATAATATAAGTTTTAATACCTCTACTCTACTATACTCTCCCTTCCTCCCTAAACAGAAAAAACCTCTCAATATCTATACTTGTTTTCTTAAATTATCAGATGCAGTCAGTAAAGTAGGTTCTGTTTGTATTCCATTTTCTTTTTCATCTAACATTGAAATAGTAGCAACATCTTGATGTCCTACTTCTCCTTTTTTTCGCACACACTTTTGTATAAGGAAAGCCACTGTTAAAGGGATGGGTGTCATTAATGCAACAGCCACTGGCACAACTAAAACAAAGTAAATTTAATCGGAATTATACAGTTTCAAAAGTAATCAACAAAGATATAACATTGACTAAACATACATAGGTAGGCTACAGTGTATACTAATATAGCAATATATTTATTGACTTGATCCCAAAAATATATGGTGTAACATAGTATCGGGTCCAATACAACACTACCAAAAATTCATATTACCTATTAATTATTATATAACACGTTTAATCTATATGTACCTATAATAAATAGTACATAATACTTTATATGTTACAGTAGTTATATAAAAACATTTATGCCAGGTTATCAAAGTACCTGTTGTTATATCTGCAGCTGGTTGTCCTAATGAGAATTTCAACATAAAAATGGCAATACCAGTGTTCTGTATACCAGATTCAATAGTCATTGATACAATGTCTGCTTTGGGTAAGCCTACAATATATGCTGTAATGAAACCAATTAAAAAGCCTGTCCAAGGCAATATAGCTCCAGCTAAAATGATCTACATTAAAATTTGAAATATAGGTATGATAACATGATATTAGGTTTATTAAAAAACAAATTCAATACTCACTTGCCATGAAAATATTTGAAACAGATACAAATTAGTAGCAATGGCAAAAATAATTATAAATAATATCAGACAACTAGATAACGGCTTTAATACTCGAATCATTAATTTACACACTCTTGGCATAAAACACTGAATAGAGTAACCTATTAACAAGGGTATGATCAATGCTACAACAGATGAACCAATGCGTGAATAAGGAACTGGTATTTCTTCTATATCAAAAATACGTTTTCCTAAGAATATAGCCCAAAATGGAATCATTACTGTAAAAACAAACATAAAATAAAGTCAGTTAATTAGATTATTAAGTTATAATGTTAGTTTTAGATTCAATGCGGAGCTGGGAAGGTATTGTTCAATCCTAAAACTGTACTCGAAACAAGCGAATAAAATAAAAAGAAAGCTTCTGTCCCTTTTAGTGATAAGGTTTTAACTTTCAAGATATTTTTTTGATACTTTATCTAAATAATATGTCATACAAATTTGGAACTAATCTGACTATTTTTAAAAATTATTTAGAGGGTTCTAAAAAAGTTTTAAAATGTGTACATTTTTTGTGTTTTTTCTTGATTATGAAGGAGAAGGGATGAACTTTTTAAATTTTTGGTTAAATATAGGTACAATATCTGATTTATAGAGTTGCTATATGATGAAATCGGTTTATCAGTTGAGAAGATATTGTGGGTCTACATACATAAATTAAAATAAAAACACATCATTATAAAAAATAATACCTTTAGCTTCGCATCAAAGCTAAAAGGTCATTTAAAGTCATTAAAAGAGTCAATAATTTTAAACAATAAACTATCAGATGCGCTAAATAAAAATGTTTTGAAAATATTTCATTATTTTATAATTATTATTTGTTATTGAACTAAAAAATACCCATGTTTTTCTAACAAAAACTATTATGAAACATGGTTTAAAATATATAACAATTTACAAAATATCTTAAAACGATAGCTATTTTATAAAATCTTAATTAAAAGATACTTACTACTTTAATATATACTTATTAACACATAAATGAGAATTTGTCATTGGAACTAGTTATTTTTTTATAATTTATACTTTAAAATACACTACATTTTTTTTTAACATACGACCATTGTATGGTCGTTGGCCTCAGCACAGTTGTTTATTATTATACTGCTGTTGATAAAATGAACAGTTTTATCTCTTGAACAAATAGATATAAAAATACTGTTGCCAGGTGGCCAACGCGTTAGTATGTAATAAAATAAACAACTTGTTGGTGAATAATACTTACTAAAAGATTGCAAAGTACCAAGTGTAGTAAGTAAAACGCTTAGGTTAATGTTGCCACCTAAAAGTAAAGCCCATACACTTGCTGCTCCTCCTCCAGGACTGATTCCAGTAAAATACAATCCCAATTGCATGGTAACTGAATTAGGAAATATGAGTTTTGCATAATAATAGCTTATCTGCAACAAAAACAATGATTAAAAAACACAATAAAATATTAATAGCTAAATGACTTACAATTGGTAATATTACAAATTGAGCAAGGAATGTTATTATTGGAGCTATTGGTTTTTTAATGCATTCTTTCAGTTGTTTTAGTTCTAGAGCACATCCCAAATTTATAAATATAATACTCATCAGTATAGCAACAGATACTATGAAAACATTGTCAATTAGTCTTTGCTTTCTGACTACAACTACGTTAATATGGTTTTCACTTGAATTCACAATCGATTCTATAGCAGAATTTTCTAAAAACATAATAAATATTTTATTAATTATTATATTAAAGATTTTTTGATATCGTTATTATTCAGTAACTTACTGAATTTTACCATTTGGAAATAAACTTTTGTATATCCTATGAATTTCCCAGTTATATTGAACGTACCACTCCATGTATTTGTTAGGTTATTGGGTGTTGGTAAATCAAAAAACCTTGGTGATATTGATACAACTTCCAAATTTGTACTAATTAACTCAATTTTTCTAAATTCATTTCCTGAATTATTATTTTGAAAAGCGGTAGAGTTGAACTCTACTTGTATACTTTCGCCCATTTGAAGTTGGTCTACAATAGAATTGTTCAGTTGGACATCCCAGCTGTCAACAGTAACAATTGTAGCACAAGTTACTAAGACTAAAATATTCAATAAGACTGTTAAATTCATAATAGAATATTGTATAAAAACTGTCGCCAAAATAACTATGTATTGTATAACAATGATACACGTGGAAACAAGTTCAAAATTACATAATGAAAACCAGTCATAACTTCAAACACAAGTATTAAGTTATTTTACATATTAATAAATGAAACTATAACGATTTGATGCATAAAATTAAATACTATTCATTAAATAACATCTGAAAAATTTAAATTATAATGTAATTTGTGATAACAGAACCACATCTTTTATCAGAATACATTTATGGTAAAAGAAAGTGGGGGGTAATACAGAAATAATTATTATTATCATTGATTGAGTGTAATAGACATTATTACATAATCAATGTTATTATTAACATTCTTCGGGTTCGTGCATCCGCCAGGATTGTAAATATTATTGCCTATAGGCTCTATTGACCGGCTCTTGCGCCTTGAATATAGGCAAAATATAATACTAAGATTGGCGTACAGCCAACATGGACTCGTCCCAAGTTAACATTTTTTCGCCTCCACAACGAAAAATGGATACATCTCGGTAAAAAAAAGTGTCAGGTAAAAAAAAAATATTTCACGATTTTTTTTTTGGCTAGACGCATTGGTATTCTTCATTCCATTTATTATTATTATTTATTCAGTTACACTAGATACACCGTTTTTTTAATTACGCATAACTGTAATTTTAAAGGCGCATAGTTCTAACTACCGGCGTTCAAAAGCTCATAGAAAGACTGAAGATTGATTATAACTATAATAATTAAGTCTTGACTATTAAAACTATATTATATTTGTTTTACATTTATAGTGGTTTAATTATAATAAAATCTATGGAAAATTGAAAAAAAAACAAGATTTTAATAGAAGTTTATATTTTTTTAATACTTCAGTTCTCATTGACCTTATATTAATTTTATATAAACTTATAATTTATAAATACATTTTTGATAGTACATATTTACCTAGTGCTTACGCTCAATTTTTTTTTTTTGTTGCACTTTCTTACAAAAATTAAAAATAACGAAAATTTGATATAATAACAAAAATAACGGCACACATTTTTTATAAAGTTTAGATAGAAATAACCGATAGACAAATTGAGTACATGTATACTATCAAAAATATTGTTTTTTTTTATTTATAAATTTATACAAATTTAATATAAGGTCAAAAAGATGAGAAATAATTTTTAAAAAATCGATACTTATATTAAAATCTGTTTAAAGACTCCGTGGATTTAATGTTTCACACTTTTTTCACCAAGACGAACCCATTTTTCGTTGTGGGGTTAAAAAAAATGTTTGAAGCAAACCAAATCCCTAGTGTACAGTGTACACATAACTATGTGATGGTTATCTAGTTTTGAACGTAAAACTGATTGCTTTCCATAATTTTAATTTAATTTTGTTTAATTAAACAACAATTTGCAAAAAATGAAAAATTGATTTTGATAAGATCGATGACAATCATCTCATACTGCCCGCAACATGGACTTGGAAATTACCAACATGCTGTAGAGGTACGCTTGGCGGAGTTGCGGGAAAAAATGCACGCGCAATACGGGCAGAACTTAGGGCATATAGAATTCGATAAATGGGCACCAATGCCACAGAAGGAATAGGAGTGAAATGGTACAAATCGTTTACCACCTGCGAATAGTTGGTATCTAACAAATTGGCATAACAAGTAGCGACTGGTGCAACGGTATTAAGATGTCAATGAACTCGATGGCGAATCGCGCAAAACGCGGAGAACGGAGTCGGGGCAAAATAAAATAAACAATAATTGTATTAGTCTACAAACAGTTCCGCATTGTCTACTATTTTATATTTTTTGCCAAATAGACTATTGGAAAACTCTGCGTCGACCATCTTGCTTTAAAAATCGTTTCAACGAATAATGTGAAAAACGAAAATTATCGTTAGAAAAAAAGTATAGCATCGAGGGAACGTATAATAAAGAAATCTATTTTTTCCTATATGTATTAAATCAATGAAAAAACTTATGTTTATTGTTTTTCATGGATAATAATGCATTTTTGGACACAATTGATGAACATATTTTATAGAGGAATTTAGAGATCTATCATAAAGTTAATTTGTATTCTTATGCGTAAATTCAATAATTCGTTTATAATAGTAATTACAGAAATAATACCATTTGGTGTTATTTTTGGTTGTTGTCGTCTCTGAGAATTCTAAAAACATCTACTAATCCCTCTTTTACCTTGTAAAAATCATGCACACATGATACAAACTTGCTTCAGTCGCTTCAAAAACACCTAAGTAATAATGAACCTCTCTCTCAATATATATACAAGGGAAACGCTGTTCGTAGCTAATCGCATCACTTGAGAACGGCTGGATCGATTTGCCTCATTTTTTTTAATGTTCGTAATAGTCCGAATAAGGTTTTAGCGAAAAGAAAAATTGTTTAGCCCCACACTTACTTTAGTCTTGTTTTCAGGCCTTAGGTCTTCTGGAAATAAAGAAAAAATTTCTACCTTTTCTAGGGGATATTTTTTAAGTATATATCTATAGCCAAAAATAATGTTTTTAGTTTCGATGCGTAGCTAAGATGACATTGTTTTAACAATGAGTATTTTTATTTTATTTATTTGAGTATCTGGATACACAATACTTTTAACCGCTGAGCTGATGTCTTCATGTAGCTAGTATATTATAGATGAGAAATTTTACTCAAGAGGGGGTCAACTATTTTAAAATGTTATCCCATCCCCGTTATAATCGAGAAAAACACCTGAAAAAATGTACATATTTTTAAACTGAATTATAGCTAAATGTCAAATCAGTTTCAAATTTGTATAGAATAGTCTTTAAGCATAAAAAAAATATCATAAAACCTTTCCCCTAGAAGAGGTGAAAGCTTTTTCTTTATTTCTATTTTTAGGGAAGTTTTAGGACTTGAGGGAGCAATTACATACAAGATATTCTTAAAAACTGTAGTCACAGAGGAAAAATAAAAATGGGAGAAAATTACATAATGGCCATAGCAAATTTTTAGGTTTCTATATGTGCGAATGAATCATAAGTCAACAGGTATTTGAAAATGTGTTCATTATATTGTTGATTTGCCTATTGGTTACAATGACAATGTAGAGTGAGATAGTATAAAATATAACAAGAAGTATATGTCAAACATTTTAAATAATGTATATTTTTTATAATATAATGGCTATAAAAATGAGACAATTTATATAAATAAATAAAAACATACATCAACAAAAATTTGTACTTTCATTTACTTCATAATGTTCTGAAAGTTCCATTTTAACTAAATCTGTAATTATGTCATCAATACTTATTTCCAATTTTAGTAACACTTTATTTAATAGAACATCTGCTATTGACTCTGTAACACTTTTTAACAAAATATTCTTATTATACATCGTATTAAAATTATAAATAAACCGAACATAACATAATAAGGTATAAATGGCTGTTTGTGTGTGTCACGCAATCACACTAAAACGGCTGAACTGATTTTGATACCATTTTATGAGCAAGCGTTTCTTTCTATATACCGTTGTATTGATGTACAACAGGTTTCATTGCAAGTATATTAATATCTGTTTACCTGAATATAGTTTCCACTTGATCATCAGATAACTGAATCTTGGAAAATTGTCTTCTATAAGAAATTATTTCATCTACATTTTTTTGGTTTATAATCAATTTGAGTTGTCCATCTTCTGATATATTTACATCTTAAAATAATATTAAGTTTGATTATTTAATTAAGGCCAGTGTTTATTATCATGTAGCTTAACAGGCTATGAAAACATGTCATCATGAGATGGTTTCTTGATGAATTCGCTATTCGGGGCGGGTCGTCAGTCCGTTGCTGGAGAGCGGATGGCGGCTCATTTTTACCGGACGATTGCTCGACCAGCAAACGGAGCGCCCGTAACCGAGTGTCGAACCAGCAACAGTGAGCACTTACACTTTGCCGCCATACCCTCTCAGCTACCCTTCCACCGGAGGACAGTGAATAGATTATTTTAAAGGACTAAGAGTCCAACGGCTAGGGTACTTTAAGAGAAAAGGAGAGAACCTCGAGATTGGTAAAGGAATGGAAACCGCGTGGGAGAAGATCATATGAAAGGACCAGGAAAGAAGTTGGATAGATGGAGTGGAGGAAGATTTAGGAGCACTAGGAACAGAAAATTGAAGACACATCTTACAAAACACGGGGTCAAAACTCTTAGATTAATTACACCAAAAAATGTATTGATTATTTACAAAAAGAATAATAATAAAACTAAAAACCTTTATAATCCTATAATTTTAGAACACTAGATTGGCAACTACTCAACCAATTTGATGCAATTTTTAATTGATAAATTATATTTTCCATCATCTTTATAGAATGAAATTAAATATATTTGATTATGATAAGTTTTAGATTAATAAATTATAAATATGTTTTTTTACTTACTTTTGGTTTTGAAATTCCTCCAGACATTTTCTTTCATAACATATAGTCCAATATTATGTCTAATATGTTGTTTCGTTAACAAACATAACCTGAAAATTACAGCTTAAACTAAAACACCAAATAATATAAAAGTGACACAATTAAATTTACTTTGGTGTATTTGACTCTCCTGACAGGATACTTTTAGGACTCGTGCAAGGATGAGTATGTCTATGTAGTCCTATTTCTCCCTCAAATTGTTCATTTGTCTCCTAAATTAATAATTACATATTATTATTTAGGTTATAAAAAACAAAAATGATGATCTTTAATATTTCATCAGCTTTAAAACATATAAATAACATTAATCATTGTGCTAAAAAATGTAATCACAATCAATCATAGTTACTAAACAAAATTGTTGCACGGCCGTTTTTACATCATCAAAATTATGACAATTATCTATTGAATCATCAGAAGAGACAAACTTATTTTCATTTTTAGTTAATAATGTTTTGTCTTCAAAATTATTTGCACAATTTGGGCTTTGAGTCTTATCAGTGATTTTCTAGAAACGGGAATGAAATTATATAGACAAAAAAACTAATATATATTTTTAGTTTTTTATAAAGTAAAATTAATGTTAGTTATTCTTATTTTACATTATTTTTTGACCACTTTTGAGCATAACATGATCCAAGCTTTGGTCTTATTTGGTTATACATGCTTAAATGGTTGAAATTGCTATTGGTAATTTGGCTTTTCTTTCTAGTCAATGCTTTACTTGTGAGCTCATTAAGTTTGTTGCTTTGACCAATTTGTTCGCAGTGAATATTATTTTGGTTGTCATTAGACACATCTTTATATCCACAGTCATCCAACATGTTAATTAAAGTCTTGCATGCTGCAACTAAATCCTAAAACAAAATATTTATTACTAAAAAAGAAATGTTAGTAGTTAACTTTTACGATTTTAATAAAATCATGGCTTTTCTCTGGCTAAAAGGGCTTTTTAAGAAGTTCATTTATTTTTTATTTTTTGTGTTTGACCCGTATTGTAGACATTATAACAGTGAATTTTTTTTTGGGAGTCACTGATTTAAATACTTATTTTTACCAACCAGTTTTAAAAAATATGGGCGTTGAGTATCCAAAGAAAAACAAGGTTTAGTGGCGTACTTTGGTCATTTTTTTTGGTTGGGGGAGTATCTGACTATTTAATTTTTAGATAATCATTATTACATTTTCAATGTTTTATCTCCCACAGTTATCGAAATCATAAAAATGAGAGATATTATTTATAACCAAGACATCTCCTTCCCTCTAATTACACCACTGAATTAAATTGTAAACTATAAAAATAATAACTTAAGTTAAAACTCAGTTACAAACTTTAACATACATAACTTTCTTTCTTTTTCTTGTTATATAATTGACCATATAAGTATTTTCCTGTGGTTGAAGATAAACAAGATATTATTTGTATTAATTCCTTCATTTTATCTTGAATGGAGTTGTAGATTCGAGCCTCCAAGGTTTGCGAGCACACCTAATATAAACAACAGCATATATGTATGTATAATTTTTAGGACTGAGTATTGGCATGACCGGATATCGATATCGGCCACATCGGTTAATTGTTTTTTTCCCAAAACTGTTATTTTACCAATCATTTTAAATAAAAATAAAAAATTCTAACTTAATTAAAAAAGGTGGAACATTACATTTGTCACAAATGTACTATATGATTTGATGTGTCACATGATTCATATCGGCTGTAATATTGGATTTATACAGCCGACATATAGGTTTTTATTAGTATCGGCTTATGTTTTATAACAGAACAATCAGTATTAGAAATTAATTATCAGATATTGTGAAAAATCTATATCGGATCATTCCTAATAATTTTATAATAAATATAATAACAAATTCACAACCAAAAGTAAATTTTTTTTCTATGTAGAACAATTAATGTGGTCTTAGTTTTCCGAATAAAAAAATGCAGAATTTATTTTTCTGCAAAATTTAGATTGTTATAGTTTTTATTTTTAATGAAAAATTTTAGAAAATATTAGTTTATGCATAATATACAAATACGTTATCTTCATCAAAACAAATCGTACACGTTTTGCTAATAAATTATTATAATTTTTCATTATTTACCTTAATAGCATCAATTGCTAATTTATGGCCGCAAATTAATTTCATTTGAAATAATCTTCTAAACATTATATTTCTTTTGTCTTTTTTTTCATGTAAATCCTTATTTTTAAAATCTTGTTTTAATTCTGTAAGCTTAAAATATTCAAATAGAAAGTTATTTAAGAATGAAATAATAATGGTTTTTAAATGGTAGTACTAAATGTTTTTCAGTTTAACCACTAATATAGCTACAATAATAATAAAATGTAAATATATTTTAAGAATTTGATATTTTATAATAAATTTATGAAATGCAAATAATTATTGCATACCAACTATAAGAGAGACTCAAAAATTGATAACAAAAAACAACAATTAAGAATTATTGAAGAATTTGGGGCATATTTTTTTATTCACCTAATAAGTTTAACTGCTTTAGCATTATAATTATTATTAGTAGTACTAGGGAGTACTGAACCCAACAGAGTGATTTCTAAAGAGGCCATTTACAGTAAGAAAATTTAAGATAACATAAACAGAATATAAATGCATATATAGAATATCTAATAAATACTGTGAGATACCCTGTACATATAATAGAAGGTATGTAATGATATACCAATTTATTAAGATCATTAATATAATTTTTATTTGCTCGTTGATCAAGTTCTTTTGTTTTAATTCGTATTTTCTTAGGATTCTTTAAAACTGGTGGTTGTAATGCATTTTCCAAAATTGTAGAATATTCATTAAATGTCTTAAATAGACGACTGAAATAAATAAAATTAAAACATTATTCAATATATATTTACACACCTAAATTAGTTCTAAAATTAAAATCACCAAATAAATACTTTCTTAGTCCATGGATATTATTAATGTCTGAAGGATCATGCAATGAATACAACTTCGCAGAATTCAACGTACTAAATTTGCTTATTGAACACATATCTGATGGACGGGGATAAACAATTTCTTTATCCTCGTTATTATTTTCTATTGTAAATGTACTCTTTGATTCTTCAGCCTTAATTGATTCTACATAGTTACTCCAATGCCAGTCATCAATTTGTTTTTGGCGATCACGTGTGATTTTTTTATATGTTCTATTGAAATCTTCTTTTGATACATACTGAAATTCAATTAGATTAGTTAGATTTAGTAAGAAATAGTAACAGTCAGTGTTGTAAAAAATTGTGTACTAGTATTTCCGATACTATACTCTGTCTCATGAGAGAACAGTACTGCGCAAAAATCAAAACGCATTTATTCTTGTATGCGCCTTAGTAGACAAGAGCGACACGTTTTGGTTTCTGCGCAGTATCAGTATCTTGTGAGACAAACTATACTAAAATATATAGTCACATCTTTTTATTATGAAAACCGAAAAACTTAATAACTTCTTTTTTCAATCTTTATGCGGATACATCTGAAAATTATCCACATAATAATTCAATTGGAGTCGACCCACCTTCACTCGACACAATTTCCCACATCATTTTTGCATAAACCAGTAGCCTATGCTTTTAACACTCATATTTGAATCTTCAGCTGCCCACCGTCGCACCATACATTTGTTAGCGATGAGAGTACGCACTGCTACAGAGTTATTAGTTATTTATTTTTATTATTATTATAATCAATAATGTATTGAACAACAAATATAATTTTCTTAAGAATTAAAAGCTTTAAGTTAGTAAAACTTTAGCTACATAAAACAACTGCTTATGCCTGCCAACTGGAGCCTCTTCATTGGTTGGGTTCTCACGCCCCTAATCTTCCAGAGGAAAAAATAGCTAGCAAGAATGAAACTAACCTGATACCCCTCTGAAAGCGTCAGCGACCTAACGAGACCTAACTTATTCTCGCGTCACTGACAAATGTATGGTGTGGCGGCAGGTGGCTACGACTGCAGCCCCCTATTATTATAGACGCTATAATATGCAAACTTCAACTTAGGAACTAAGCGTTTCTCCAAATTTTTTTGCACCATCAGCATTAATAATCAAACGGATTAGAAAAAAAAATTGAAAATCGGGCATGGGATAGTCAAGTCGATGTAAACCTTAATGATTTGGATTAGAAAAAGTATTAATATTATTTTAAATACAAAATTAATTGTAAAAAACGAACTTGAAATTTAAAGTCACGCTCATTGTTCATATTTGCCAGTAATTATAACCAAATCAAAACATAAATTACTTAATTTAAAAACAGTTAACAGTAAATGGTAAAAAAATTTGAAAACACATCGTAAATAAACAAAGATTAGTAAATACAATCAAAACTTATTTTGAAGTTCCAAACGTCGATTGTTAAATTAATAAATGATAACAAATTATAAATAATCATTCGTTTGTAACCAAGGCTGTAGATTGTAGATACCTGATACCAAGGTGGATTTACCTTGGTGATGCGGCTTGTTACACTCATTCGTGTTTATGATAACAGCCGGTTATCAGCACTGTATAGGTCGAGTTGGGGGTAGTGTTTCCAAAAAATGATAACGCATGATAAGAAATAAATGTTACATAACCTATAAAATGTGTAATACTACAGATAGTACCAACATCGATTTTACCAAAAACCCGCCAAGAGAAATTTCGTATTTTAATATCAAAAGCATTGCCTTTAGTTAAGTTCAGTTTAGTTAAGTCTTTATTGCAAATTGTAGTTAGATCTTTATCAATTCTCTAATTAATCGTGTATTCACTTTACACGTAAAATTATATAATGTAAAACTCATAATAAATTACATTATATTAGTGTGTATACATAACTTATAAGTATATGTTATAATTTAATATTATTTGGTATAAAATAATAATAATTTTATTGAAATTTCCCACAAATTGTTTATATTACTATTTAAATAAAACATTTTTTTTACTTTTTACCTTAATTAGTTGACGATTTCAAAATTTGGCTGTCAAGTATAAATTAGTTTTACCACATCTTACATATGTATTCTGTAGTTAAAGAATACAGGTAGGAGCTAATGAGCTTTGTCTTCAATCTTGTCGTTTACAAGATATATTATTAACAAAATTTGGTACCTAAAAGATATATTAAAGCAAGAAAAACGGAACAGATGACACTTGTAGTTTAAATAACTAGAATAAAACTCATATTTAATTTTCAAGTTTCTACACAAATCAATATATACATTTTAAATTTATAGTCCAAAGTGAACCTATTGCCGGATAAAGACTTGTGATAAGAAAAAAAATTGTTGTACGGCCCTTTTGCATGGGATAATAGGTAGATAATAAGAATATTTCATAATATAAAATTATTGTAAACTAGATTAAACAATTCTGTTATATTAATAAAAATGATCAAACTAGGGTCATAATCGTATAAACGTCATACTTAATAAATATATAATGTAATTTAATGCAATCTTGCTTTTATGTTGGTGAGATTATCAAATCAGACTGGATTGTCTTACTGAATTAAAAAAAAAGGAAAACTAACTAAATAGTATCCCGTACCATACAAATTATATGTATATATAATAATTAAATAATTAATAACAAATTATCAAAAATAGTATTCAATACCAAATAATGTATTTTAAATGTCTGTATTAAAATACCTTGCAGGACTGAATGTGATTTATAATCTATTAGTAGGTTTTTAAAATAATTATTATTCACTTAATATTTTACAGAAGTTAGTTTGTATTAAGCTACTCTGGGTATATATTTTTATTAAAGAAACCAAACTAAACAATATGAATTTGTTCAGTGAAAGTTATTCATATGATTTAAAAATATGATTCAATTTTTGGTCAATATAAATTTGCAAATTAACAATTATCTTTTGATATGAAAATGTCCATATTTGTTAGAAGATTGCATAGCCCATATTTTATTAATCTATGTACTTTCATGTGTTTCATGAATTATGATTCATATAAGATGTAACTGCGTTACTTTTAAAAAGAAAATAGTTATATACCTTGATTTATTGATAACTGACTAAAATGAAAATATCAAAAATATTGAATATGTTATAAAACTATTCAATTATTATCATGACATTATTTATATATATATTTATAGTTATTAGACAATAGCAGGTATTGTTAAGGATAAAACTTACTAAGGCTAATTTATTATTTATTTGTAGAATCTATAATTATTTACTGTATTATACTCTGCATATAAATTAAGATAACGGTGTCTGGACTTTATAATAAAATTTATATCGAACACATCATTGTATACTCAAACAAAGAGAGTATTCAATATGTTAAACATCCTTCATTTGAACTAGTGATGGGAAAATCCGGATTTTGCGAATTTCAAAAAACCGGAGTTTTAAACTTCGAAATTCGAAATCCGGAGTTGTAGTATTCGAACATCGAAATCCGGATTTCGAAGTTCTCGTTATAAATCCGGATTTCGAAGTTTTCATTATAAATCCGGATTTCGGAGTTTTCATTATAAATTCGTAGATTGGATTTCAATTTTTTTACGATAATAAATAAATTATATTTGTTAATTATTTGGTATTATGTACAACGCGTTTATGTAGTGTACAAAAAAATATTTAATTATTGAATTGGTAAATTAGGTATCTGTTTTTATAGTTATAAGAACATTATGTATAAACACGATTTACAAGTCTCAATGACACTTTTATAATAGATTAGAGCAATAAGTTGTAATAATATGAAAAATACACAACACAATATATATATAACATATAAATTAGGAAAAATAATAAGTCAATCTGGAATTGTATGTGTCTTAAATCTTAATAAATAATAATAATACTAATAATACTTTTTGATATAAATAGTTAAGCAGTAGAACCAATTACATTATATAAAATTGTAGTTAATTTTCAGCTGTTTTTAAAGTAATTGACATTTAAAATAAAATGTGCTGCAGTTGATTGGTAAATTGTTCTTGTAATAAAATTATTTTTTAATTTTTAGTTCACTTTAAACTATTTTTAGAAAAGCATGTTTTTAAAAACAAAGTTTTATTTATTTATTTATTTTATTTTTTACTTTTTAGTCCTAATAAAGGTACTTAATAATTGGTGAATAGATTACTAAATTCATTTTAGAAGATTTGAAAAAAAAAATTAAATTTTAGTGAAATGGCCGCCATATTTGACCCCCCGGCATTTGCGACCTGGATGTCTAGGTCCCAATATTTTGACGGAACATTGTATTGTCATCCAAAATGAGTGTCTAGGTTAAATTTCAGCCTATATGATATCAGGAAGTGGGTTAAATTAATTTTAGAAGATTTGAAAAAAACATGCAATTTTAGTGAAATGACCCCCACATATAACCCTGTGTAGGGCGACCTGGATGCCCGAGTCCCAATATGATAACATTATATTATAGTGTCATCCGAGATGAGTGTCTGTGCCACGTTTCAGCCTTCTACGACATCAGGAAGTGGGTTAAATTAATTTTGCAAGATTTGAAAAATATCCGTACAAACGTACAGACGTACACGTACGTGTTAGCGAGTTAAAGAAAAGCATGTAAAAACTACTCAAATATGGCTTACAATTTTTAAATAGGTAATTGTTTTCAATATATCACAAATAGTGAACTGTAATACAGCATACTTACTTTGTATTTAAGCTAGATTACATATATGAAACTTTAAGTTCATTAGAAACATATAACTTAGGGTAATTTAGTTGAAGGGGTCCGATAATAGCATTTCATAGAGGATTAAAAGTCAACTAATTTGAACAATTTGGTCATCTTGTACTGCTGAATTAGTAATTACAAAATGGCATTATAAATTTTAAAATCGGTAATTTGGCTTTTTATTTAAACCCAGGTTACGGTTTCTTAAGTTCAAATTTTGAAATCCGGATTTGTCATTAAACCCGGATTCTTCGTGAAATCCAGAGTCTTCGTGAAATCCGGATTCTTCGTATAATCCGGATTTTTTTCATTGAACTTTGAAACCCGAAAACCGGATTTTACGGATTTTAAGAAAATCCGGATTTATTTTCCATCACTAGTGTTGATAGTACAAACATTTTTAAATAGGAAGAATAAACTAGGTTTACCCAAGGTATGTCCAACACAAAAACCCACTAAAACCTACATAAGTTCAACATTTTTGCACTAAATCCGCTCAAACATAGACCAAACTCAACAGAATTTTGTCAGCAACCTGAATATCCAGTCAAATCGCCCATTTGTATGATTTAAACTTTCAAAATTTACAAACAACCAAAACTTCAACCTAGCTCAAAATTTTCAAAAATCTGACCTCTTCCTTAACCTTGAATTTGACTTTAAACTACGCCTTGACCTTGACTTTGACTTATACCCCGACTTTGACTTCATCCTCAACATTAACCTCGACCTTGACTTTGACCTCTACCTTGACCTCGACCACATTCTTGACCTTGACCTTGACTTTGACCTCTACCTCATTCTTGACCTTCACCTCTACCTCGACCTTGACTTTGACCTCTACCTCGACTTTGAACTCACTTATGACCTTAACCTTGACCTCATCCTTAACAAGGACTTCGACTATGACCTCATTCTTAAACTTGCCCATTTAGACCCAGCTCAAAAATTTAAAAAAAACTGAATTTTTTTCAAAAAATATCTTACTAATTGGGCTGTTCTGTGAAGAACCATGGTTGTGGTTACCTAGGTTACCATGGTTGTGGTTACTGAAGTTACCATGGTTGTAGTTATCTAGGTTACCATGGTTCTGGGTACTAAGGTTACCAACAGTTGTGGTAACCTAGTTTACCATGGTTCTCGTTACTAAGGTTACCATGGTTGTGGTTACCGAGGTTACCATGGTTGTGATTTTAAATTTTACCACAATAATTGTTACATACGTTCTCATGGTTTTAGTTACCATTGTTGTGGTTACCAAGGATCAGAGAATTTTGTTTGCAAACAAATGATTACAAAACAGATGACGGTAAAATTGCCCCTTTGTGCGATTTAAATTGTCAAAATTCATAAAAACCATAATTTCGACCTAGCTCAAAAATTTCAAAAAAACTGAATTTTTTTCCAAAAATATCCCACTAATAAGGCTGTATTGTGGCTTTAAAGATTCACAAATGTCTCAGGTTGCCTTTTAACCCATACATATGTGTTAATTGTTCAAATATTTTTACATAGCAAGAACAAACTAGGTTTACCCAAGGTATGTCCAACACACTAATACCTACTTAAATTCTAAATTTTGGCACTAAATCCGCTCAAACCTAGACCAAACTCAAGAGAATTTTGTTTGCAACCAGAATATCCGGTAAAATTGCCCGTTTTAATGATTTAAACTTTCAAAATTTACAAACAACCAAAACTTCGACCTAGCTCAAAATTTTCAAAAATCTGAATTTTTTTTCCAAAAATACCACACCAATGTGGTTGGCTAAACCGATGGATGCTTACCACTGTGTCGTCCGCTCGTATATATTTAATCATGCCCATAGCCCGCCCATATCGTCAATGTTAGCCACTTTACAGAAGACTGTTAATTGTGTGTCGACTTGTGGCTAGTGCAATGGGCGTTTCAATATGTACGAGCGGACGACACAGTGGTAAGCATCCATCGGTTTAGCCAACCACATAGTGGTAATAGTTAGCCGGTTACGTCCCCCCGGTCTTTCGAGCCATACGCCGCCAGGAGGAGGAGGAAGACGAGGAGGAGCCGCATCTAGCTGCCAACTCCCACCGAAACTACACCAGTCGCGCTCGCCGTCGCCGTTGCCGTCAATCTCACCGTCGTCGTACCGCCTGCCGCCTATCTCCTCGCTAGCCGCACCGCCTACCAATTAAGCTAGCTGCCAACTCCCACCGTTCCAACTCGTCGCCGTCGCCCCGCTCCGTCGTTGGAAAGTTCACCGCCTGCCGTCCATCTCCCCACTAGCCACACCGTATAGCGTATGTAAACCCTCTGCCGCACACTGTGTCGCCCTAGCCAGCAATAGAGTATAGGTAATATTATTTCCCAACTGCTTAGTCTTAAGCTAATCTATTTTTCAATCACGATCTAGACGCCGGTCCGATCGTGATTGCATCCCCGCTCCATACTTTCATCCTACATTTCCATCTCATCATCGTTATCATTATTATTATCATTATTATTATTATTATTATTATTATTCTATAGGAAGCAACCTACATTACCAATCAATAAAATCAATTATTACCTTACCAAGTTTTTGCATTTATAATTTATTTAATTAGCATTATAAACCCTTTCCCCTTCAGAGCGAAGGAAGGTAAACTCTTGAACCCAACCGAGGGTCAAGCGTTACAATGTCTCAGGTTGCCTTTTAACCCATAAATATGTGTTAATTGTTCAAATATTTTTACATAGCAAGAACCAACTAGGTTTACCCAAGGTATGTCCAACACACTAATACCTACTTAAATTCTAAATTTTGGCACTAAATCCGCTCAAACCTAGACCAAACTCAAGAGAATTTTGTTTGCAACCAGAATATCCGGTAAAATTGCCCCTTTGTGCGATTTAAATTGTTAAAATTTATAAAAAAACCATAATTTCGACCTAGCTCAAAAGTTTCAAAAATCAGAATTTTTTTTCCAAAAATACCACACCAATATGGCTGTACTGTGGCTTAAAAGATTCACAAATGTCTCAGGTTGCTTTTTAACCCATACATATGTGTTGATTGTACAAACATTTTTAAATAGGAAGAATAAACTAGGTTTACCCAAGGTATGTCCAACAATAAAACCTACATAAATTCTACATTTTTGCACTAAATCCGCTCAAACCTATATCAAATTCAAGAGAATTTTGTCTGCAATCAGAATATCCGGTAAAATTGCCCATTTGTGCGATTAAAATTGTCAAAATTTACAAAAAAACAAAATTTCGACCTAGCTCAAAAATTAAAAAAAAACTGAATTTTTTTCCAAAAATATCCCACTAATAGGGCTGTATTGTGGCTTAAAAGATTCACAAATGTCTCAGGTTGCCTTTTAAGCAAGAATTTTATTATAAATATTCATTTAATATTAATAAGACACGAAAGTAAATTTTATTTACCAATAATTATCGTTGTCGTCATATGAACTAGTTGGTTTTTTGTCATTATAAATGCATCGTAAAAATTTGTACTATTTAAGAAAATATAATATATTTTAACACGGTTGATTTTTTTATCATTTGAATTATTGCCGTTCGGTTCTAGAGATAACAGTTAACTCTGATAAACGTTAGTTATATTTTAGTTACTTTTTTTCTGATAGAATTGGCAGACTGATAGAATATTAATTTATATTTTGGTGTTTCTGGGTTGGTCACGCTGATAAAATAAAAATTGTGTTATCTTTTGGAAGAACTCTTATCTCTTATCATTTTTTGGAAGAACTGCCCCAAACACTAAGGTCTAAGGAGAACACGGACACAGAGATATTTTGCATGAGTTTAAACTTCAAAATAGTGACATAGTTTTTCAATAATATGGATTTTGATAGTTAAACATAACACCTCTTCTTATAAAACAAATAATTTTAAATATAATAATAATATCATTATGGACTTCCAAAAAGGTAATACTAATTATTCTTGATGCATTAAATTTAAAATGCATATTTATGTATCTAAATATTATTTTGTATCCAGAAATTTTTGATGTTATGTTTGGACTGGGTGAATGTAATGCATACCCAGAAACGGTCATATCCGTGCAGTCTATTCTATGCAAACAAATAGCAATGTTATTTGTTCAAGCAGAATCTATTGCTCGCATTCGAGCAAGTGATGAAATATGTGTTATAGATTTGGTTTTCATACTAAGGAAATATAAATATACATTGAACAAGATGGTACATTATTATAGTAAGCAATTTGTTGTAGTGTTAAATAATTTTTACCTGAACTCTGTTATAGACATATTTTGCATTTGGTTATTTAATAATATTTTCATAAGATGGATTAGACTATAGTTAAGGAAACCTATTAACATTGGAACAAATTCACTTTACCGCATATTCTTTTTATGAAATTTCCCCCCCCCCCCCCCGTGTCAGCTGTTAGCTGTTTTTGCCGCGCCCGTCGCCTACTGTTATATGGAGAAAACTTCAAAGTTGAAGTAGGTATAACTTTTGAACTAGAAGAGTCCGCCTAAATCTGATTTCAGATTCATAACTAGTGTAAAAAACACTATATTATGGCAAAATAAAAAGGGTGTCTGGTAAAGTGTATATATGCCTTTAAATTATAATAATAATGATTCTATTTTCCCTTTAGAACAAAGAGAAGGAATAAATTCATCACATTCAGAAAATATTGAAACACCTGCAGATAATGAAAGGCCGTTTAAAAAACCAAAATTAAGTGATTGTTTCAGTTCAGACAAAATAAGTAATGATATTTTACCTGCAGTAAACAATGTTAGTTTGGATTCAAGTTCCAATAGTATGTTAAATTACCAAAGTCTTTAGTATATTTATAATTAAATTGATATTAATTGTTTGTGCCTGTTATTTTCAAAGTATCATGTTCTAAAAGTACTGTTGATACAACAGACACTGAGATTTTAAACCCTTATGCTGTTGAAAAAGGACATACTATTTATCACAATATTATTGATGCCCTTAAAGAATTGGACATAGACCTAACAGACTTTGATGAACAAATTGTTAATGCTCATAACTCTTGGGCATGTAAAACAGTAGGTGCCATGATGAAATGTGAACCAGAGTAATAATAATAATTTTTTTTTTATCATCATAACAAATTTTAGTTTAAAAAAGGACTGCTATACGTGTTTCAAGTTACTATACAGCTAAAAAACAATTTTTTTCAGATTATCTGAACACTACCAAAAATGTAAATCAATGTCATTCTATGATTTTGAGTTTGTAAAAAAGATACTTGAAAATATGGACTGTCATATAAGTTATGAAATTTATGCATATGATATATTACACTTCTTAGCAAAGGTAACTTATTTTAAAAGCTGTTTTTGTATTTTTAATAGACATTAAATCAACAATTTGCATGTGTGTTTAGGAAACACTTTCGTGTTTAATATTTCGCATCCATCAAAATAGGCAAAAAAAAAAATCTACATTAGGGGAGCCGTCAAGCATTGAAGAAATTGATAACATTCTGGCTACTAAAGTAAAATAATTACATACAAAAAATTTGTTAAAAAATACAGTGTTTTGTGTGATTTGATATTTCACGGTGGAATCATACAATTTTATGTTTGTTAACAAATATTTTTCCAATAACGAATAATATGATTGACGTTGAATTAACTTCTGAAGTCGAAGTGAATACTTGTTTGTGGGATTTGATACTTTTTAAAAAAATAGAGAAATTTAATTTATAAAATAAATTCAGTGGATCAAACCAATGTACAAGCTGATGCTCCTTCTTATCATTAAGTGCACGGATAACACACTAAGTCAGTGTCATCCAAAAGGTTTAACACTTCCTACCGGGTAACAATTTAACCAGACATAAAGTTAAATAACTATGGTATTATGCCAATTCCACGGCAGAAAAAATACATGTGTACCTCCACGTACATGTTTTAGATGCATTTTGCCTATGAATAATTATTCGAACTATCATTAACCAATTTTTTCCCTTTTTAAAAATAATTCACTACTATTTGAGATATTGGCCATTACTTTTTGGTTGTTTCTTGTTATTGGTGGTCAATCTCATTTATATTTCTTCCACAATCAGGCAAAAATAATGTGTATTACATTTTATACATAGTACTTAGTTAGACTTAGTATTACACTTAGATTAAAATTTGTATATTATATTGTGTAATAAATAATTGTTTAATAAGTGAATTGTTTTTTCAGATAGAAAACCGAATAACAGTTGATGAAGTATTAGAAATAACAAATGAAATTTGGTGTCCATTGTATGAAAAAAAAGAAAATGTAGCAATGCTTCCTAATTATTATTTTAAAGGTAAATTTATACTTGACTAAAGTATGGTTTAATTAAAATTTCATTATAATTATGTAATGATTATGTCGTTATGCTTAGTTTCTGATTTTTAAATATATTCTCATTTTAAGCTCATACTAATTGGTAGTTAAATTGTGTATTCTAAACATGTTATTATAGTTCCTTTTTTTTTACTTGGTAATAAAAAATGATTGAAAAAGTGTATTTTCTTTCTATTTGTCATTTTCGCATTGTCTTTTTTTTTCATTTTTCTAGTATAAAAAAGGTTTATTCTATAAATTATGTATTATATTTACACTATACTATAGAAAATAAAAAGTTTGATTAAAATGAAGCGAGGGACTTGTTTTTCAGTTTGTAAAGAATGGTCTGATAAGGGAAAAAACAGAAGAGACAAGTTAAGATTCAAAACTTATATATTAACATAAATAAAATTGTTTTTTAAAAGTAAATTAATGTCTTATGTTAAATTGATCACACTGTCAGCAATGTTTTGTTTGAAAAAGTTATCCGAGGCATAATCCCGAAAAGTTTTTTTTATACATTGACTTGATGAATCAAGAATAAATGTTAAAATTAGGATAATGTAATTGTTCCATACTATTAATTCAAAGTATTTTATGTATAGTTGTTGATTAATAAATTTAACAAAAAGTTTAAATGAAAGTAATGTTTTGACAATTGATACAATACTAAAATATACAAATATGTATTTTAAATATATATTAAATAAAAATTAATTGATCTGAATATAAAAAAAAAATAGTTTTGGATAAAGAGAGTAAACAACCCCCACAGATTATGACTGTAATCCGGCCCTGACCTTTGCAAACATATTTTAAATCTTTAAAAATATAATAGGTTCAATCCATCTTTTTTAATAGCTAGCGGGTATATATTTATCATACATAATATGTCATACAACTATTTATCTTTTAGATTATGTATAATTATAAGTGGTCACTTGGGAGTATTGTATATTGATTTGATACACTAGCGTTTTGTTTTATCATCATCAATTCAGAAATGCGGGCAACATAAGTGCTTCTGATTTTTACATTATTTATTAGTTATAAACCTTAAGTAAATTTAATCTATGGCCCTAGTTATATTGTATACTAACTGAAAATATAGACTAGTCGATGCCAGTTTTAAAAAAATACTCAAAAAGTTATTAAAACTTATAATTTTGGAAAGGAGCAAGGGTGGTGTAGTATTATTTTTATCTGAAGCGTTACTCAACCCCTCTCCATCTCCCTTCCTAAATTTTAAACTAAAAAAGTAATTATTCAAAGCTGGTGTTTGACCAGTCGAAATTTTCAGAAAATTATTTCTGAAGGGGATTGCATGTGGTTGGTTTTTAAGGAGTTTTGTAAAAGCTATATTTTAAAAAAAAGTGGTTTTAATAAATTTCGATCATGTCAGTTAATTTACCGGTTTATTTGTATAAGCTTCATGGTATTATTTTTAATTAAAATTATTTTGTCTATGAGTAAAACCATTTTAGTTAATATAACATACATTTTTTGTTCCATCGCACAGGCTGAACCAGTGATCCAAAGTAATCTGAAAACAGATTTGAATTCGCCATGATTCATGAAGTTTACTTATGGTTGGTCAGGGTACTTTTTTGATATCTTATTACTACTATGTATAAGACACATTTGAACATTATATGAAATTTCAAACTTTAAAATCAAATTTTGAAAGGGTTCAAATTAAAAATTAAAAATGTGTTTTGACTGAAAAAACCGACCGCAGGGGATTGCCCCTTAATTTAAAAAGTTATTAAAATACATATATCATTTTAAAAGCTAAGTTCATAATGTCTTAACACACAAGGGATGGTTTTTTTTGTTGAAAAATATATCAATTTGTGCTAACTAATAACTATACATGTATGATTTATGAATAAGAATAATTAAAAAATAAGTAAATTATCTTTTAAAATATTGACAGGGACCACGGTTACAGTTAACCAATCACCCTGTACAACAAAACTTCTCATCTGTGCTAAAATATATAGGTTTTAAATAATAAAAAGCAATTACTACAAGTTATTATTTATTGGTCAAACTTTTTTTTCAAAAAAAAAGATACATTTATGTCAAAAGCAGAGAAAAAATGAAAATACAAATATCTAGTATTATGAAATTACATGTTTATGAAATTGAAAAGTAATATATGAATAAAATAAAAATAATTAGTGAATTTGTTTGCTAAATACCAATTACTTGTGTAGTAAAGGATAAAAATCACCTGATAAAATATAAATTATGGAGAGCTACTAGAAACAGATCGGCTGTGTTTACGTCTTCTTGGCGACCTAGATCGGGATCTCATTCTACGTGGACGAGGAGACCGACGTTTGATTGGCATAGGTGATCTACGCCTAAAGCGAAGTGGACTCCTTCGTCGCCCACCACCACCACCCCAACCACCACGGCGTATTGGGCTTCTACGAACTGTCAGTCGAGGTAGTAACACTGGGGCACATGTTATTTCTTGTCCATCAATTTGACCTAATTTGTTTAAATAACATTAGTAAAAATTTTTTTTTATTATTTTTATATCTTTACCTCCATCCATATGTTTCATTGCATTTTCTGCTTCCTCAGGAGTTGTGTACTCAACATAACAAAATCCTTTACACAATTTGGTGAACCGATCTAAAGGTAGTTCAACTTCTTTTACAGTTCCAAAGTCAGCAAAAATTTCTTGTATATGTTCCTTAGTTATATTACGCGTTAAACGACCAACATGTATACGACAAGGTTTTGGCGTTGGAGTCCTCTCCTTTTTACGCCGTTTTGGACTACCTGATCTAAGTCAAGTAACTTTGATAAACAACCATGTTTAGCTCATAAATGTTCAATGAAAACTTACCTTGATTTTCTTGAAATTCTTGTTTTACTATCAGCTTTCTTTACTTTTTCATCTTCGTCACGCCTAGACTTTCTTGGACTACGGCTACGACTCTTTGTTTTACTTCCACTCTTTGACCTTTGCCTAGTATATTAACCACAAAAATGAAATATACATTTTAAACTTAATTATATTTTATAATTACTTTGCTTTTGCTTTAGCTTTTGCTCGAGCAGTTGATGTGCTTGAAGAACTGCTTGAACTGGACGAACTAGAGCTAGATCGTGAACTTGAACCTGAGCTGCTTGAACTTGAATGACTACTGGATCCTGAAGAACCACTACCAGAGCGAGAACTGCTTGAAGAAGAGCTTGAAATTATTAAACAGTTTGTTAGATCTAATTATAATTATATTTATATTTAAATATACATAATATATAGACATTACTTACCTACTTGAACCACTGCTTGATGAGCGACTACGCTTTTTCTTTTTGATATTTTGCTCTTCTCTTTTATTTTCTTTATCTGAATGATCCCCTTCCATTTTTTCTTTACGATTTTTAGGCCTACACATTATATTATAATTGTTCAATTGATTACTTAAAAAAAAAAAAATTAGATAAGCTACTACATACATGTTATAGTTAAATACTGAAAAATAGTATTTTTAATGGTAACAACTAATTAATCTTAGGTTGTTCATTACAATAATCATCTTAAATTAGGGAATACGGTTTTAAGCTTGCAATCTTAATAGGTATTTGTAAAATTGTACCCCTTATTTAAAGAATGTATGTTTAAAAACAAATATTATAACAGTATTCTTGGTTTCAAGTACATAATGCATAATTTGTATATGACAAGGCTTACAAATTATAACGATAGTAAAATAGTGAACAAGCACACAATAACTACAGCACAAAAAAAAAAGTCGCTCTAAAAGATTATACTTACAAATCGGAAACAACCATTGCAGACACTGAAAAAACCTACTCAATTTGGAACCGTCAAACGGGAAATTGATTTTTGTATCTTCTAAAACGTTTAGGTGTATTCAATTTTTCTGAAATACAATTGATCTGTTGTAAATATATTAGTAAGAATACTGTACCTACATGGCTAATTATCGCTTTCTTGATCGGAGGCAGTCATAGACGCAGATAATAATGCAAGACCGCGGTGCGCGTCCGGCAATCGAGTCACACGGTACTTTGGAGTCCGGCAACGATTGTTTTCACAAGACAGTAGACACAACTAAAAAATTAACTTTAAACCTCCTAATCTACCATGGTTGTGGTTCACTCTTATTGGTCACGATCATAGACCTATACATGTTTGGGGCAGTTCTTCCAAAAAATGATAAGAGATAAGAGTTCTTCCAAAAGATAACACAATTTTTATTTTATCAGCGTGACCAACCCAGAAACACCAAAATATAAAATCACATTCTATCAGTCTGCCAATTCTATCAGAATAAAAGTAACTAAAATATAACTAACGTTTATCAGAGTTAACTGTTATCTCTAGAACTAAACGGCAATAATTCAAATGATAAAAAAAATAACCGTGTTAAAATATATTATATTTTCTTAAATAGTACACATTTTTACGATACATTTATAATGACAAAAAACCAACTAGTTCATATGACGACAACGATAATTATTGGTAAATAAAATTTACTTTCGTTTCTTATTAATATTAAATGAATATTTTTATTAGAATTCTTTTTTAATTCATAATTCAAAACTCTTATTTTCACATAATATAAACTTGCAATATTTAATATGAATAACATAATATATTTATCAATTATAGTACCTAGCGACAAAGTTCATACATACACTATATTGTACTAATTTGTGTGACAATATTATTACATCCTATTTAAATAAAACTATTAATACAAGTAAATTATGTTTTACAGTATGATGGTAGTTGTCTGAAGTCATAAAAAGCTTATCGGTATGCTTATTCATTAGAGCGGTTTGATTCCTGAAACTATCTCTAGTCTGATTAAGTGTGGTAACAGGTATGGAGTTATTTTTTGTAAAATTGTTTTAATTGATTTAATCTCTATTATTTTAATAATTAACATTTCAACTTTTAACTTATTTATTAATAATATATCTTTCAGTTTTAAGATGAGTCAAAGATGATGGTTGAACAGTTCTCCATTGACACTAACTGGAAGAAATAATTGTTTTATCATTTGTCTAAATAGACTAGGTAAGGAAAACACTCTAGATTTGTAGTATTAATAAAAATATTGATACAATAGTAGTTTAATATCAATCTAAAATAACCTAATATAGGGTATTTAAAAAAAAAGAAATCAAATGTAAGTTATCATTCTTTTTAATAATTTAATTTACTATTTTCTAACATTGTTAGTTTTTGTACAAGAAAAATTGCATTTACTTGTAGATCTTACACTTCATTGGTATGAGATAACAAACTAGGTCCACTTGATGTATACCGGTCACAAATATAGTCGATTCATGAAATTACTCTTCCAAGTGTTACTGATAGATAATTTAAGTTAAATGGTATAAAAAAATGTCATTATCAATTTTCATTATATTTAATTTTAACTTCACAATTAACAAACGATAACATTAGTAAATCATTTAAAATTGGTTTTATATTATAATTATTATTATTATTTAACCATTTGTTGTTTTTTCAGCTAGAATGTGACCAGAGGAAGATTAAATGGACATATCATATATTTCTCCATGGACACTGTAGTAATCCATAGACTGACTTTTGACACTATATTTGAATATTTGTTGTTGACGTTAATTGGATTTTGTGCAAAACCCCTGGAAGAATATTCTGTATCAGACTAACAGTATAAACGCCACCCAGTAATTCTGTTTACCTGCTGTTAGACATCGTAGTACCATCTCCAATCTCTTTATATATTGTTTAATTTTATTTAAAAAAGTCTTATTATAATTTATTATTAATCAAGTGTAATTCAGTTGATTATTTATTGAATAACTTATTATCCTGTCTTCAATGTCCATATAAACTGTACTGTATTTATGACCACTACACTGATATCTCATTTGACTAAATATTTTTAATTTTCAACTACATTAAAACAAAATTAATATTGTTAAAATTTTTTTTTTGAATACTTGTATTATTGTTTGAATATTTTTACACTTTGAGTGTCAATACAAGTATCTTGTAATATTCTAGATTTAAAACTGTATTAGTTTAAAGATACTAACAGTATATTACTATTACAATTTTGACAAACATAATTATTAGCCTACCAAACTAATTATAAATGTAGTTTCTGTATTTACTTATTTATTAATATTTAGTTACCTTAATAACATTAAAATATTAATTTATTGTAAAAATATCTTGACCTAACTGAAAGATTGAAAATTTGTAAATTGTTGTGAAATTATGTCGATGTTGTTAGGAAAAAATGTACAGTCAAAATGTTGAATACCTAGATCAAAAAAAATACGGTACAATTTTTTTTTGCTAAAACAAGTAATAATACATTTGTAAATTTTGATGTTTAGTCTATAAAATATACTTTTTTTAAATAAAAAATATCTTTACTTTATCTGTACTTTTCATTGTTAAGTACAACTGTTTAACAGTATAAAGTTAGAATTATCTTCTACTAGTTTGATCTAGTATTTCTAACCAAAACTATGGAGGTATAAGATATTCCTAACACAATTATACCTTTTTTAATGATAAATAAAAATGGGATTGTCTAATCTGTTTTTTAAATGTTCACTTAGTTAAAATAGAGTTAACCTGACCACTTGATATCCAACCTTTTAATTTCTGATTTGATAATTTTATTATTTACATATTAGTGGAATTGGAAATAGCCTCATTTATTTTCCCATTAAATATGTCCATAGCTACGTCTTTATCATTTAAATTTTCACAACTTGACTAATCTTAAGTAAATATTAACATACTTAAATCAGTCATATTATAGCTTATTAAACTATTTGTGGACAAAAAGAGCTTTAATAGCAGATCTCGATGAGAACGAGATAAGAGATAAATAAATATGATGAGATGCTGAAACTTGCAATTGTATCTATTTATTGTATAATATGTATTATTTCTATTTTTTTTTATAATATAAGAAAAGTATACATTTCTTAATAAAAGGAATGTAGACAGTTTTTGTGTGGTATTAAAACTTTAAGTTCATCGTAGAGACTTGGTTATCGCTAAGTAAATGGCCATATTAAATGAATAAGTACATAGATTAATAAAATATGGGCTATGCAATCTTCTAACAAATATGGACATTTTCATATCAAAAGATAATTGTAAATTTGCAAATTTATATTGACCAAAAATTGAATCATATTTTTAAATTATATGAATAACTATTACTGAACAAATTCATATTGTTTAGTTTGGTTTCTTTAATAAAAATATATACCCAGAGTAGCTTAATATTAACTAATTTCTGTAAAATATTAAGTGAATAATAATTCAACTGAGTGAGTTTCGGATATATCCACGTCGAATGTTTTGTGCCAACGTTTCGGACTCTTTGCAGAGTTCATCTTCAGGGCAATAGTGTGGTCACGGCATTTGAACAGTCGAGACCACTATTGCCCTGAAGATGGACTCTGCAAAGAGTCCGAAACGTTGGCACAAAACATTCGACGTGGATAAATCCGAAACTCACTCAGTTGATATATCAATCCACGAAAGTTTTAACGCATTCATATGAATAATAATTATTGACATTTTCATGTCTTAGCTCTGGCACATAACCGAAAATATTATAACGCAAATATTATAACGAAAAATGCGTTACCAAAAAATAAATGGGGATAAAGATCAGGTGGGGGGTGGGAATTAGCTCTGGCACATAACCGAAAAAAGCGTAACGAAAAAAGTGTTACCAAAAGAGTGTTACCCTGTTATCTGATATGAGATACGAGATAGGTGTGGGATATAGGGGTAGGGGATAGGGGGTTAGTGATAGGGGTAAGATATAGGAGATAAGAGATATGTTGTACGTTCAACGTTCAAATTAGAACTAAATAATAAATTCAAAACAGTTTAAGGGCCCAATTTCTCTATGAATTGTTTTAAGCCAGATAATAAACACTACAATTTTAGCCAGAAACTTGACGTTTTATTATCCTAGTTTGTTACCGCTCGTTAATATACTATATTATCTATAATTCCACCACTACTCTTAATTTATTCGGTACGTCAACGAGACATGAAAATGCTCTTTCGTGGTTGCAGACTCGGCTGAAAAACTTTTTTAAAATCCTGCTAATAGATTGTAAATAACATTCAGTCTTGCAAGATATTTGAATACCGACATTTAGTATACATTATTTGGTATTAAATACTTTTTTTGATAATTCGTTATTAATTATTTAATTATTATATATATATATATATATATATATATATATAATTTGTATGGTACAGAATACTATTTAGTTAGTTTTCCTTTTTTTTTTTTAATTCAGTAAGACAATCAGTCTGATTTGATAATCTCACCAACATAAAAGCAAGATTGCATTAAATTACATTATATATTTATTAAGTATGACGTTTATACGATTATGACCCTAGTTTGATCATTTTTATTAATACAACAGAATTGTTTAATTTAGTTTACAATAATTTTATATTATGCAATATTCTTATTATCTACCTATTATCCCATGCAAAAGGGCCGTACAACAATTATTTTTCTCTTCACAAGTCTTTATCCGGCAATAGGTCCACTTTGGACTATAAGTTTATAATGTATATATTGATTTGTGTAGGAACTTGAAAATTAAATATGTGTTTTATTTTAGTTATTTATGTGAGGTATTTAAACTACAAGTGTCATATATTCCGTTTTCCTTGCTTTAATATATCCTTTAGGTACCAAATTTTGTTAATAATATATCTTCTAAAAGAAATAATTGAAGACAAAGCTCATAAGCTCCTACCTGCATTCTTTAACTACAGAATACCTATGTAAGATGTGGTAAAACTAATTTATACTTGACAGCCAAATTTTGAAATCGTCAACTAATTTAGCTAAAAAGTAAAAAATAATGTTTTATTTAAATAGTACATAAACGATTTGTGGGAAATTTCAATAAAATTATTATTATTTTATACCAATATAATATTAAATTATAACGTATACTTTTAAGTTATGTATATACACTAATATAATGTAATTTATTATGAATTTTACATTATATAATTTTACGTGTATAGTGAATACGATTTTAATTAGAGAATTGATAAAGTTCTAGCTACAATTTGCAATAAAGATAAGAACCTAACTAAAGGCAATGTTTTTGATATTAAAATACGAAATTTCTCTTGGCGGGTTTTTGGTAAAATCGATGTTGGTACTATCACAGATTATAATCTGTTGTACTATCTCTAGTATTACACATTTTATAGGTTATGTAACATTTATTGCTTATCACGCGTTATCATTTTTTGGAAGAACTACCCCCAACTCTAGACCTTATACACGATGTAGAGAAGATATCTTCTCTACATCGTGACCTTATACCACTGATTTTATCTACAATGATAAACCGGCTGTTATCAATTATCATAATTGGGACTGAAAATAACAAGGATCATCAGTATTTAAATTTTTAGTATTTTTATTTATAAAATTTACAAAATAATAAAGACACTTAATCGGATGACAAATTAAAGTTTATTATTAACATTTATATGTTTTCGAATTATTTGATTATTATTTTTATTTAGTTTACGTTGAGTTGTACTGTTTCGTTTGTAAAATGCTACAGGACAAGCAGACCTCGAGCTCGGAGTCGGAGTCTGAGAGGGAACTGCATGTTCAAGAATTGGTTTTACCGAAAAGTTGTATCCTTAAAGCAATTGATTCGATGTTACAATCCGATAGCGTGAACAACGACCAGGAAGTTAAGAACATGAAATCTGTCTACAGCCGGAAAGTATCCATGGAGATGGGTGCCCAGTGCTATGATCACTCTGTCTTTCCCGATTATAACGGCCGTAGTGTAGACAATGTGTTTTTGAGCAACAGTCTTCGACCAGTAATGCTCGAAATGCGATTGGCTTTGCTAGCTGGAGATTGGGATAATTATAAAGAATTATTATTGATGTTGTTCAGCTCGCCTAACGTGTCCAATAAGCATATAATGTTTTTAATTCGGTCGTGTTTTGTGTTGATGTTAAGTCACCCAAAACGCACACCCGAATTATTAGATCAATTTATGTGTTCGTGTTTAAATATAAACGAAGAATCAAGAAGGTTGCAGTACTTGGAACAATGTTTTAAACTTATAGAAACTCGCGCCGATGACCTAGACAATATTAGTGAAACCAGCGAAGAAGAAATGTTATTTTATTCTGACATTAGTAATTCAGACAGTGACTGAATATAACACATAGCCTTAATCTTTTTTGGTTATATTTAATTTATACAATTGTTAGAATTATGTGTAAGTATATTTGCTAACGATTTTATATTTACAGTAGTGTGTGTGAGAAAAGTTAAGAGACACTTTATTGTAATTAAAATGTTTGTTTTGTTTTGTTTATGATGTACTTTTGTTAGTTATGGCAAGTTCAAAAAGTTAACTGTTAGGTTATGTTTTATTATGAACCTAAAATTTAAGTACACTTTTCAAATATTTGTATTCACTTTTTTTTTTGTTATTATGGAAAAAGTAAAAACATTGCTTTTTTAAAGTTAATTTTTTACTTAAACCTATTGACATATCTGGTGTACAAGTATCCCATCACTTTAAAGATGTTTCAACTTGAATAAAGTTTAAAAAAATGTTGTAGTACTTAGTTTTTTAGACATCACCTCTCTATTTTTTTTTTAATTACTTGAAAAAAGTGTAGGTGTTAGTGATGGGAATCCGAAAATCCGGATTTTTAAAAAAAAAAAAACGCTATTTAAGCGTTTTTATATGTACGGGGTAGCGATTTTATTTTTTTGATATCTATACTTTTTTTTTTGTATAAACAAATAAAAGTTGAAAAAAAAAATGAATCTTCACGAAGGAATAAGTTTTAATTGTGATTAAGATATCAAAAAACTTAAATCGCTACCCCAAAAAAGTTCTTCTCTATCCATTGTAAAAATTGTATACGGTTACTGTAAATACCACCTTCACATTCTTGTCCCCCGCAAAACCATTTTTTGGCGGATAAATTGCGGGTGGGTAGTGTCCTCTTAAATACAAACGGATTAGGTAAAATTTCTGAAAATACGAGCCCTTAATATTAATATTAAGTACTCTCCCATAATGTGAGAAGATTTCCCATTTAAATAACATGTAAATTTAGATTTTTTTTCAAATTTCTATAACTCAGCGGCATTTTGTGCATATCATTCAAGGTTCCAAATTACTCATAATTAAGCGCTCTACAAAAGTGCCCATTACGACGTAACTGTATCTATACACAATATAGACAACCGACTATACAGTTCAGCAAAATAGACCTTTCCTATTTTATGGCTTATTTACACAGAAATGGGTTTATAACAATATTCTTGCAGATATGTAGTATTCAATTAATAAAGTACTCAATTATTAATTTAAAATAAATTATATTAGCATAGATAATATAAATAAAACAGTACAGGCTTGTCAATATGTAATATTTCCGTTTAAGTAGTGATATATTTCTACAAGTTAATCATAAATTGATTGTTTAAGAGGTAAACAGAAAACATTTCCTTTGCTATTCTCAGTGAAATTAATAATGATAATTATATATACTGTTATCGATCTGTAATTTTTTTTATTGAATATAATTTAATATACCCAATAGTTGGGCAATATCTGTTCTTTATAGATTTGCTATCATGTCAAAATCAATCTTAATAACAAAAACCAACTTGATTATTTTTGTACAGTTGATCACAATTATTTTATACAGCTGAATAAATTAATAATACTAACACTGCTCACAAAACAACAATACCAAACAGTCATATAGAGTAATACAAATCAATTAAATAAAAAATTATAATATATTTACAAATGGACAAACAAAAAATGATTATTTTAAGTTAATAAAACTTGCATATAAAAAGAAATGTTAATCAAAAATTAAATCACTATTGAAGAATTCATCATTTTCCGTAAATGGTATTTGTATACAATCTAATGGTCGTTTCCAAACAGCTGTTGTAATGTCTGTAATTTCATCAACAGTAATTGGCAGCTGTTTGACCTGAGTGAAATTGTAATTTATTAGTAAAGAGTATAATACAAATTAATGTACAGGAACATATAAAAAAAAGGGGTTCGCTGTATGTAAGATAGTTGACATCAAAATATGACCAAGGGATTTACATAACTAGTTGAGATGTAAGTTTTTTTATTTCATTAATCAATTTTTTTTCAATTTTACAATAACTTAGATTATGTTGCATAAAAATATGTGGCACTAATTTTAATTTGTATGATATTTTCAATAGTATAAGCATCGATTATAAATAATTAATGGTATAAGTAACATTACTGGATGATAATACTGAAGGATAAGCTTTCTGAAAGTAAATTCAACAAGGAAAAATATCACGACGCGGTTCTACAAAGCCGGTTAGGCCTACATAATGATATCACTGTGACGCATATCAGGGTATTACAATTATTTGTTTCAATAATAAATTGTCGAAAAAATAAAATGTATATTTCCTACAAAAGTTATGATACGTTAGTTAATACAAAAATATACTAAACTTCTGAATTTTTATTTTAGGAAGTCAAATGCAGAGATATGTTTGGGTCCTATTTTCATATACTCGCCCATCAATAATAACAAGAAAAATGTAAATTTTTTTATACATCTTTTCATTGAGTAGGAAACATAATATTGTGACAATATCAATTGGCATAATAATTATAATTATTAGCATTGAATTATACATTGTATTATTGTTTTACCTTAGTGTTATTAGGATTTAATGTTTCAGGACATTTTTGTGTTTCTTCTTCATTAGAAAGTATTTTCTTTCTATTTTGGTGGACACGATCAATCAAAGTTGCAATTGTCTCCTGTAAAATACAATAATAATTTATTTTTAGTAAGAATAATATGTTTAAAAAAATAAAATAAATACCTTAGCTAAATAAAGAAATACATCTTCTGCTTGAAGATTGTATCGCACAACAAATGGAAGGGCTTTCTGTACTTTATTTAATAGCAATTCACCTTTCTTATTGTGGAAAGTTCTTGTTCTACAAATTTGGAAACATTCATATGCTCTAAACATTATAAAAATGAAAACAATTCAGTATGTTCACATTTAACTGGTTGAAATTTAAAGTATCAAACAACGTACGTTGGAGATAATAATATTGCTAATTTATCTGCTTTGATTTTACGAGGATCTGTAGCATTTCGTACATCTTCTTCCTTTGTTAAGTCAACATCTATTTTAAATTCTTTAATTGTCTCCGTAATGGATTTATATATATTGGGTTTTTTATTGCTTCCACACTCATCATTTTGAGTATTATTTGCTGCCCATGAACTAATAAGATCTGAAATAATTAATACTAATACATTTAAGAAAACTTAACTCTACAAAGATATTTAAGGAACTAGTAAATTAGAAGGGGGGGGGGAAGCAGCGACATAACTTTCAAAACATACTAAATTGTTAAGACTTTAAGTTTCATACAAAAAATAATGTTATTAAATGTCGTTTGCACAAAAATTATTTTTTAAGAGGCCACAACAACTGCAGCTTAGGTGTAAAAATCGTTCTATTTTAGATATAATAGTCATAATTAAAAAAAAATTGGAAACGCTTAAAAAAATAGCATGTACACTGTTTGTTTTGAAAAATCATTGTGCAGAAAAATTGGTAATTAAATTAATATAGTACCAAATCCTGGTGTATCACTAAATTCATAGTCAGCCGTTGCTTCAGTAATTTCAATAGCACTATCAAATACATTCACATCACTGTTACTTAATTTTTGTTTTTTAGGTTTACTCTCTTCTATGTCTTCTAGTTCAGGTTTGTCCATACTAGTAACTGACGTAAATTTATGCATTGATCCTTTCAATACTAAAAACAAAATTTACATTGTAAGACATATGTACATTTTACATTTTTATACACATATTATTAATATAATTTGTTCACATATTAGCATAGCAACAGTCAATAATTATGGATAAAACTAGAGATTACAATGACTAGGACAATGTAAGGATGCTGTAATTTAAGTAGTGATAGACTGTAGACTGGACGGAAGTCCACAACGTCACTTAAAAAAGAGATAGGTAAATGTCATAGAAAAAGATATGAGGAATCTAGGAGTACAGAAAATATATATTATTATTATTATCATCAGTTGACTTACAATAAACACGCAACATTCGAATCAAAGTGTTTTTATTATTTTTTAATATGAAAATAATGTCTTTAACTGTAATTTCTTTAATTTTGCGTTTTTTGGGGTTTTGCGTGGCTTTGTATATTAACAATGCCATTTGTTTGAATAAAACCGATTGAATAATAGCGACTGTATCTTTACGTTGCTTTTTCTCCGCTAAACCATGCATCATTTCACGAATATCTAATCACAAATGATTTTATATAATTACACATATAATTAGCAAGTAATAGAATCCTAACTACAAACCTTGAATAATATCTAAATCCATAGTTTATTGTAAAGCATATACCCAAGTAGATTTGTTTAATAAATGTCTTATACGTTTTTTCTTATAATAGTAAGTCAAGTTATTCAATTTTGAAGTAATAACATAAAATGCAAACGTTTAAAGAATGTTATTTATAAAAATGTGTATATACTATGCATAACATTGATTTTAAATAATATAGATAGGCCCACTGGCATGTAATATGTAATTATTTATAAATTTATAATCAATGATTGTATATTTATTGTTAGATTGTATCCACAGATATGGATAATAAACAATAAATATTATCTATATCAGCTGTGTATGTATCACAGAATAACCAGAAGCGAAACCTAGGTTGGGACTGATAAACGTCGGAATTTCGTTTTCGCCACGGACTATAATACAGGACTGGTAACGGACTGGTCGGCGGAGAGCGGGGTGTGGCCCGGTTGTACAACGCTTCCCGGTTGAATCGCGCCTTGTGCGCCATCTATTGCCGAATAATTTAAATAAAAAGTTTTCAATAGTTCAATAAATAAACTATTATAATCAGTGGTATTTTAATTTAATAGAATATTGAGATCCGTGGATTAACCTAACCTAACACGGAATTGGCGGGAATAGGGCCGACCAAAAATGAGAAAATTTAGTAATATTTTTATACATTTTCGAAAATGCCTCGCAAATTTAGCGTGCATTTATGTAAAAGCGTTTTAAACAATACAATAAAATGCACTCTATTTAAATGCCCCGAGAAAAAATAAATTTCCAAATCAAACCATTTCAAAGGCGAACGGCAAAAGTTCAGTGGCAAATTTTGTGTGTCAAAATCATTTTTTACCCGACGATTTAGTGTAAATTAATATTTTTAGGAAAGACTTATTCAAGCAAATCCGAAGCTGCGTTTACCAATTTAAAATCCAGGGGCAATTTTCATAAATTAATAACTACAATAGAAAACTTTTTTAAGACATTGTACGGTGTTGGCTAGAGGTGTCTTTCAAGACACATTTGATGATGTGTTAAAAACAATAACGCCAGTGTACTTACATGTCCTTCATCCTTGTGATGAACATAAGAATGAAATACTGATGTTCATTCGTAAATATTATACCTATTACTACAAGGATGAGACAGTTGACAAACATACAAAATATGATAATTGTTGACGTCACTCACGTCGACATTTTAATTTCGCGCCAACCATCGAACACTATTAATAGTTCTCGCCCACTCCGCAAGGGCAAATTAAACATATTATAGTTTTCTGTGCGTATGTCAATTTGTATTGATAAATATCTATTGTTTAGCTACTTATCCTGTGCCATATCAATATATTTTATTGAGTCTATTCTTTTATTATTATTGCTTGTAAATTTATTCACACCAAATTTATTATCGAATTTGTAACTTTTTAAACTATGTATTTTATTAATTTGTGCCCAAGAGGTTATTGGATATTTTATAATTATTTTATTGATTTATTTTTTTATTGATTAATAGTATTTATTAGCAAATTGAGCGTTACCATTTTAATTATTTTAATTTGAGTTCTTCCTTACACATCCACACATAAACACACAGGACACATTTTCATACCATATATCTCCCTAGTTTTGCCAAGCAACCCCGACTGGCTGAGCTATTACTTCATTACACGTACACAGCTGACCGGTTCAGTCAAAAGCTATAGCAGTTGGTATCCGGATAAGAGCGATGTATATAGCGTCGTTCACCCCAAGCCGTTCAATAAAAATAATAAATATCGAGATTACAATGTGACGGCTCATACTGAAAAATGTAGATATATTATTGGAGAAAATGAAATTTACTTAATTCTTAAATTTCTTGTTAAGAAATCCAAGAAACAACTCGAACCTTGAGCGTTGTCAGAATGGAATGCGTTATCTGATCACAAAAAAACATGTTTTATAAGATGAACTGAAAGCTCTTAAAGAATTTTTGGGTTCCCTCACCGTCGAGGGTTTTTACTTTAAACTAAGAAAACATGAATTGGTCACGCAAGACAACAATAATGACGAAGACGAATCTGAAGGGAAATAAAATGATAGTAAGATTGTAATGTCACTAATGTAATGAGATTCAATGCATTGGGAATAGTGAAATGTAAAATGTTATATTTATATAATATATTTGTATAATAGTTTATTTTGTTTAAACTGTACTAACTAATTATATTCGTTTCATTTGTTGATTTGTATATTATTATTCTTATTGTAGAAATGTTAAATTAGAACTACTCTCAGACTTGGATTACTTTTGCAATTGGTTTATAGATCATGAAATGGAACTTAAATAAATGTTCTGTAATCATTTTTTCGTATAAAAAAATGAGTTAAACTTTTAACTTAGTTCGATACAACTCGTGTCAATATTAATTTATGATTTAGGAATTTTATTTAAACTTAAGTAAAATTTAAGGGGTTTGGAAGCGCGGGGAGGGGGGGGGGGTTAAGTAGCTTTAACTATGCAATAATTCAGAAAAATGTGTTTTTTAATTTTAATAAATTCCGACCATCTCAATTCATTTTTCGATGAATTTCTATAACCTTAAAAGTATTATTTTTAATTTATATAATTTTTCTGAATAAAGCCATTTTAATTTTATTTAGACCTAAAGGCCTGACAAAATTACGCCTATTTTGAGTGGTGCATACCAGTTGCCTACGAAATACTATCCGAGTTGCCTCTCGCAATCCAAGGTTTGTCGAATTCCCTCCCAACGATCCCTATTAAGCCAGGTAAACGGTACAAAGTAAAGTAATTATATTTAGTACCATCGGCGCTTATCTTCAAAAAAGCTTTGTTTGTTTTTGTTGTACAAGTCCATCGTTGTACCCATAGGCAGAAATTTGATTAATTTTTTGGAGGGGCTAGCATTTTTCTACCTAAAATGACCCGCAAGGGCTTCACACCCCTTCATCATTACTTTGATGAGTGATCGAATAATTTGGAGGGAGGTTTTTAATAATGTTGGGGGGCTAAGCCCTCCCAATCTCCGCCTATAGTTGTACCTATATCATTTACCAGTTTGTTTTTTTTTTTTGGAAATTTTTTCAACCTTTTTTACTTATTATTTCCCTAGGTGCTTCCATCATAAATGAATTTAAAATTAAATATCACGCAATCACCGCTTTAAAGATACAACTTCTTCTTCTTCAAGTTCCTACCAGTTTCGGGTGTTGGATAACATATTGACAATGTTGTTCCTGTCAAGTGATGCTGGAAATAAATCAATTGATGTTTTATTATACCAGTCGCTGAGATTCTTCAACCAAGATCGATTGTCTTCTTCCCACACTTATTTTTCCTTGTAATATAAGCTTGAGTATTTTGTATCGTTAATTATTCCTCATGATATGTCCCATGTATTCTAGCTTCCGAGTTTTTATTGTTGTTAAAAGTTCCTTCTCTTTTCCCATTCCTTTCCCTTTGATTAGTAATACGATCTGTACATGAAATTTTTAGCACTCGCCTACGTAACCACATCTCAAAAGCTTCAATTTTCTTACATGTTAACTCCGTTAGTATCCAGGTTTCGACTCCATATAGTAATACAGAGAACACATGATACCTTAACAGTCTGATTTTTGCACCAAGAGACAGATCGTAACACTTGAATACTTGACGACAAGTCGTCGGTGTGTGTGTTCAAAATAAGAGGGCAGGGCCCGTTTATTAAGACACTAAAAAAAAAAAACAAGTTATAATGAACAAAAAACAATATGTTAAAAATTTTATTTTTTTTTAATCGCCAAAAATAGAATTGTACAAGTATAATATGCAGAATATAGTTCTCTACAAAATAATAGTTTTTTAATTTTTTTAGTATTGAAAATTTTTGAGTTATGATAGAAGTCTAAATACTTTTGCTGAATATTGGTTTTTTGACTTGGGACGGGGGAAATATTTTTTTAACAATTTTTTATTTTTACTTTACGGTTATATACACTAAGACGCTAGTTTTGTAAGGAATTACGAAAACGATTTCCAAAATTGCTTTTTTTCACTACAACCCTATACATCCCTGCTGTTTCTTTTACCTTTTTATGTAAATTGTAACTATTATGTTTTCTTTCTAAAATTTCAATTTCCATTCATTGATTTTGCATTGCGTACTTCTCTTTTTATTAGTTTTTGGATATGTTTGTATCTGTCTGGATCGGTCTTCAATGTTCTTCTTTCTTCCAGCATTTGTAAAATTTTCTCTGTCATCCATTTCTTTCTCTTATTGTTACTCATTTCTAGGTTATCTTTACTAACGCTCTCAAAAGCTTTTCTCATTTACTGAAGTGTCTCCTCTACATTGTTGTTTTTCTTTTCTAAAACTCTGCAAACGTTCTGCATATTTTTTTTAAATTTTTTCTCGTATTTCATTTTTGTTTAACTTTCTCATATTCAATTTATTCTTATGTTGTTTTTTAATAATTTTTTTAAATATAATTCTAAAACTACCAACCAAGGGATTATGATCTGATTCAATATCAGCACCAGGATATGTTTTGACTCCTAAACAGCTATTCCTAAAACGCTATTTAATAAACATGTAATCAATCTCTGATTCCGAACTATGTCACCCGGTTGATCTCGCGGTGATCTTCATGTATATAAGCGTCTTGACGGTAATTTAAAGAAGGTGTTTAAGACAACTAGGTCTTCGTCTTTTACGAAAATCTTCATTATTTCTCTACGTTCATTTCTAACACCCAGACCATGATCTCCAATGAGATCGCCACTTTTTCCTTGTCCAATTTTAGCACTCATGTCTCCTATAATGATAGTCATTTCATGTTTCTTAAATTTTGTTTAGAATATCTGATATTGTGTGATAAAATTGTTCTAGCTCAAAATCATCTGGATCACAAGTAGGGGCATATATTTGTACTAAATTTATATTTACTGGGTTTCCGCTTAGCTGAATAACAGCTATTCTTTCTGATATTGGTACGAAATTTGTAACATATTTTTGCATTTCACATGATACTATAAATCCTACCCCGTGTATATGTTGGTTTTCTTCATTGCCAGAGTAATATACTTTATGACCTTCTATATTGCATTGTCCATTACCTGGCCATCTCATCTCACTGATTCCCATTACGTATATTTCAAGTCTATTCATTTCAGCTATTACATTATCAATTTTCCCGGCTTGGAACATTGTTTTCACATTCCAAGTATATCTTTGTTAGTTTATTAGATACCTTAATGCTTTGGTTATCATTATTCTCCATCTTACAAGGATTTCGCATGTTGACGAACTGGGAAGCCTTGTAGTCGTTGTTAATAACCATGATTATTCCTTACATCACTTACAGCATACTTTAATCAACATTGATATCGAAATACCCACCGATAACAATTATGCCGTCAAATGTGGTTACTAAATACATTGTCATCTTTTGGTGGGTTAAAAATTATTAGAGCGTAATAAAAAACTATTATTATATAAAAAAAATTATTATACCATTTTTTTTTTGGTAATCAGATATTTTTGGGAGGCAATTCGGATAAAAAATATTAAATATTTATTACCTAACGCGGGAGCAACTAGTATTTTTTGGTCCACAATGTACCGAATAGAAATAAAGGCTCCGGAGGGAATTTGGATATCCTTCGGAAGCTACTCGGATGAAACATATTCAGTATCTGAAATGAGAGGTAACGAGTAGTTTATGACTAAAAGTTATGATAAGTAAGGGAAACAATTCGTAGTTTTTCGGAAGCAATTCTTATGCGTCCATTTAGAATAATTAGATTTCAATTTTGTAATTTCGAGGCGCCCTCTTTTAAGTCCCCGATATCACTTATATGCCAACATAAAATGGCAACGAAGAAGGGGAGAGGGTAAAATGTAAACAAATTGATGATTTTGTTTTCCAATCCCACCATAAGGACCACCCTATTATACATATTTAATAAACATGTGAACATATTTATACTGTATCTACATACAACTGCCATATTTAAAAAAAAAGACTTAGCTCCGAACCTAAATAAAAAAAACTATAAACAAAATTATAACCTTATATAGAGTACCTTTAGTTTTTTAAATATAATACCAACTTTTTTTAAATAAAGAAAATTGTACATTTTATGATGTAGGTAAAAAAACCAATGACAACATGATGAAGACGTTTTTTATTTTAATATATTTATTAGTAACTATATTATAATGTTGCATACATCTTCAATTAACTACAATAAATAAATTATTTTTAAATTACGTCAACAAGATAGTTTTGATGAACTTATCGGTTCTTTCTTTAGGTAAATATTGTTATATGATAGTAATTTTATTAAATTATTGTTATTATTATTGTATTATATGTATTATTATTATATATTATATAATTTTGAAGAAAATCATTTTTATAAAAATAATAAATAAATAAAAATGTGATTTTTTCTGAATAAAAAAACACGTTCTGAAATAGTAGAATTAACAACTTAGTAAGAAAATAATATTAAGTTTAATATCTGCAACACTGTCTGTAATTTAAGTAATATTTTATTATTGTATAGAATCCAAAGTAGTTTTGATTTTAGGCGTCAAGAAAATAATTATAATTTTGTAAAAACGTCTTAAAACTTAATTTATATTATTTTTATTGTATACCTATTTAAAAAAAAAAATTTTAAATCCATATTTTGACCTAGTTATTTTGTTTGAAAACAAATAATTAAAATAAAATGCATGATTTTCAGTCTTATAATTATTGAAACCATATTATTTTAACAACCTATCAGTTATATATTACAAATAATACTGTATAAATGTAAATATTACATTTCCAATGACTTCTAAGTACTTACAATATTACCTATATTGAAACAATAATATATAGGCATTATATAATAAGTATTGAGTACAGTTTATCTCTCGACTTTCTTAGTATTGTGGTACACACATTATTCTATAATATTTAGGTATTATACAGTCATATTTTTTAAACCTTAAATTATTATGTGGAATGAACAATATATCTTATGTTGGTAACCTATATTATTATTATTATAGTCTATGTGTATATTGATTATAACAATAGATAAGTATAAATAATATAAAAATGCAACGAATTACAAACACTTGCATCATAAATTCTAATATATATAAGCAAATCCTTTTTGGACACAGCCTGTTCAAGGGTAACATGCATTATGCAAAGTTGTAGGTATAAACGGGGTACATATTATAAAAAAAACAATTACAATAAAAAAAATTAATAACATTTTTTGTTAAAAAAAAAATCAATTCGTATTGATAATAAAATAATTATTGTCTTGTTTAAATACTGATAAGGACTAAAAATATTCAACCGTTATTATAACTTAAAATCTAAATTATATATTTACATTATAAAGATAGTATAAATTATTTGGTTAGAAAAACCTTCATGCTTCAAAATCACGTCAACAATAAATAGTTATAACAATATAAATTATAAAATCAATAACATTGGAAAAAATAAATGTATCAACAAAAGTTAGCTTCCATATTGTCTGAAAATTAATTTAAAATTCTTCTTTGCAAAGCAAAGGTCTTTGCACCAACTATACTTAAAATATATGCAGACTTTAACTTATAGTTTCGGTATAGTTAAACTACCCTTAAATTTTAAATATAATTTGCGCAAACGGTCATAAATACACTACTTAGTTACAATATTATATTATGTAGTTATTTAACTAAAATTATGTTATATATGGCTGTAGATTAGGTTTTATAATATCTATAATAACAGTAATAATTAATAGCTAGTCTTATGAACCACTAGCTATAACTAATAATATCTTCTTCTTCTCTTAGAAGCCGGATAAAAGAAAAAAGAAAGATAAGAGCTAGTAGTGGTTCATTAGTACGTGTTGGAATATGTTGTAGTAAGGACATTTTAAACTTTTGCTGGCGATTTTGCCGCAGACACCATTAATATCATTTGGAGATAGCGGGTTATACATCCTGAAAAATAAAATAAAACAAGTAGGTTAATAGCTTGGAAAAAAACATACAAGTTCGAACTTAAATAGTAAATCGAAGTTTAGCTTCGATGCAAAAGTAAAAAAGGTATTAGTTTTTATAATGAAGCGTTTTCTTTTTTTAACTCGCGTTAACTACCTCATCTTCTACCGGATCGATTTTTATGTATAGAACCACCTAATCTATAGATCAATTTCTAAATTTGTTTATTATTTTTCTACAATTTTCCAGGATTGTAATTACTATTAAAATTATTATCGACTACTAAAAATTGAAAAATTGGTGTTCGGTAAAGTATTTGTTTACCAAAATATCATACGCTCTATTTTTTAGAAGAGGTGAAAGAATTGTTTTATTTCTATTTTTTTGGTCTGAAAAATACATTGATGGCATATCTAGTGTATACCTATAATCTATTTTATTCAATATTTCTTTTATCGACAAAAAACCAAAAGTTCGTATATTTTTTGGACTGTATTTTATATTTGTATTTTTGCTAAATAATAAATACTTTAAAGAAGTTTTGTAATACATTTAGGTACACGTGGGTTTTTCTTACCGACAATCTTGTTGAATATTCTGGGTTTATTTTTCCAATAAATAAAAACAATGTAAACTGGTATACTGCTTAATATCATTAAGCAACCGTACCCTGTAATCGAATAGTATTTTAGTTACTAAAACTATTTTTTCTTTATAACTTTATGCACAGTAGTTACCTGTTTCAACTGGGCTTGCAATGATCGGAACTACGGTAACAAAAAGTGTTGCACCAATATAAATTACTGGAAACATCATATTAACCTTGATGGGTCTATTAAGATGAGGCTGAGTCCATCGGAGCCAAGGTATGCATAAAACCGATACTCCAATGCTTAGCTAAAAATTAAATAACCCTGCATCATCAAGATTTGCATTATCGAGCACTATGATCTCTAGTTAATTAAAACTGGTACATTTACTTACCCATGTAGCAAATCCTACGTAGTTTATAAGGGCATTGATGTTAGAAATTTGTAAGTATATCAACGAGAGGGCACACTTAAAAAATAAATAATATGGATTTAGTACTTATTTAGATTATTAATTCAATCAAATTAATTACTATGCAAATAACAGCTGGTGCTGGCGTCAACCGTTTAATTTGAATCATTGTTAGAATTTGTGGCATTTGACCTTCACACGCGCCAGCGTAAAATAACCTTAATAGTACATATTATCATTGTTAACATTAAACATAATATAATAAACTACATATTTAAATAAGTTACTTATTGTTCTACTTAAAGTATAATTTGTATATCTGTACTAGGGTTGGGCCTATCCTGATATTCGGATACCCGGATAATTGATCAACTATCCGAATATCCGAAAATATCCGGATAATTTTTAACTATCCGGATAGTTTCGGATATTCATTTCATTTTTATAAGACAAATATTCCTTAATAATATACAGTGTTTTTAAACATACCGAATAATAAAATAATGACACCTAATTAAATTTTACATTTTTACAATTTTAAATTAAATTTTTTAGATATATCCGTGTCAGTGGTAACCACTGACACGGATATATCTGAAAATCATCCACGTGATATTACAACCCTTGAAAATTTCAAAAAATACATAAATTTGAGTACTCAAAAAAATATATTCGGCTGGTTAAAAATGAAATGAATATCCGAAACTATTCGGATAATTTTTTAACTATTCGGATAATTTTGGTTCTACGGATAATTGAAATATTATTTGATATCCGAAATTATCCGGATAGTTGATCAATTATCCGGATATCCGAAATTATCCGATTTCGGATATCCGTATCCGAATTAATCCGGATATCCGCAAAATCCGAATATTAGTCCCAACCCTAATCTGTACATTGAAACTAAAATGCTCAATACCAAGTTTTCATATAATTTAATTTGTCTATAGAATGATAGTCTTGACTAAAATTATAAAAAAGTTATAAGGAGTTGTGTAAACAATTAAACACATAGCCTTGTTTATAGTAAACACTTTAAAAATAATTTTCCAAAAGTAAATATGACCCAAGGTACAAATATATTAATATATATTTACAATTTAATTTATATATACATTAGCATGGTAATTAAATTTTTTTTCTGAAATTTTACGTCAGCTACTAATGTTGAAAAGATATCATAAAGTCACTCTGTTTGCACGTCAAATTTATAATTATACAGAAAAATACACATTTTTATACAAGGTTCGAATTAAGCTTAATAGTACCAGTATAGTCTGATGTAAAACCAAATATATACTTGTCGAATATTCAATATTAGATTCGTGTGTGATTTCTATATTATATTATCATTTTACTAGTATTTAAAACGTATGCAAATTAGTATATTTTACTATTACTCTTCGCCTAAGACATACCGCTGCGCCGACGGCATAAAATATCTTTCGAGCCGATTGATAACCGAATTTCCACAATATTTCAAAATATTCTAAATTTTATATTATCTCATAAATTAAAAAGTTGTCTTAAAAACACATGGCTGCAATATGAAGATTTAGATTTAGTTGTCAATCACCACCAAAGATATTTTATGCCTGCGGCGGTCATGGTTTTTTAATTAAAGGACTCTCATTGGAATAGAGAGACAAAGGGAAAAAGATAAAAATAGTAGAGAAATATTTTGTTTAAATTTAAAGCCTTTGTGGAGGCGTCGACTAAAAGAAAATATAGACCACACTAATATATATATATGATATTAAAATAATTTATAGTAAAAATTAAATTACTAAACATTTTTTACCTTGAACTTGTCAGTAATATACCATTTACTGCACCAAATGTTGACAATGCAACAAATACGGGTATTGTCCAAGCCATGGGACCGTAAAGTCTATCAGCGAATGTCTGAAAAATATAATTACTATACAATACAGGAACGATATTTTTCATATTAAAAAAAAAAAATAGTTTAGAATCAAATGGGGTCGCTGAAAATATTAATGGCCGGATGTAAGTACTGGTTTTTAATACAAATATTAAACTTTTTTTAAGTTTTGCATGAAAACGGAATAATTTTTATAAGATAATGAATTTACATTATTCATATTTCTTTAAAGCTATTTAGTATTTAGGGCAAATAGGAATTCATAGTTTATAGAAAACTAATTTTAAGAATTAGGACTTATTTGAAATACTTCTCGAAAGAATCAAACCACCAAAATAGATAAGGAAAAGAGTCGAGAAATACATAATTCTACAAAGCAATAGATTCCAAGTTCCTAAACTGAATTATGATGTTCAATTTTGGGGAGGGGTTTGCATTAAAAACATTTCAATAAAAAAAATAGTAATGTTTTTAACAAATTATAGTACATACATTTATGTTTTTAGTGTAGAAAATACCGATTTATTGCTTTTAAATAACCAACTGCTTGTTATCCGTATAAACTACAAGGAACATTCAATTTTTGTGTTAATACAATATTGAAGTAGGTTTGTACATTTGATTTTAGCGAAAACCTAGTTAGGAACTGAAGTTCTTGCGTGAAAATTTGAATGTACACAAATTAATTCAAACTAACTATAAAGTGTTCATGCATGAAATTTAACTAAAATGTGTACTAAAACTGATGAGATATTTTATTTTGATATAATGTGTTTATATTTCATTTAATATACATTTTTAAAAAAAATTGTTATGAATACTAAAATTGCTTACAACAGCCACAGCTTCCGAATTTAATACTTCTTGTGGGGACAGAGTGGTATAAAAAGCTATATTGGTGCAGACATACACTACAGTAACGAGGACACACGATATTGCAATTGCTCTTGGTAGGTTTCTAAAAAATATAAAATAAAACAATTTCCACATTTCCCAAGGATATTATGTGATTGCACATAATTAAATTACAAATTTACAAACCTTATAGGGTCTTTTAATTCTTCGATCACGAAATTCAAGTAATTCCTGAAAAATCATAAGATAAATATTAAAAAATTACACATTATTATTTTAACTTATAAAGTAGTGCTAGTTTTCTATGAAAAAAGTTCTGTTATTTGTCCCGAATTAAAGTATTTTACGTGCAGACGTTTTTATCAGTTTATTTTGCTAAGTTAGTATGTACTAAAAAGTAAAAAGTCAGTACAGCGAGGTCACAAGTCTACAGAAAATAGTATACTGAAAGTAAAAAAATTAATTTAAAAAACGCTGCGAATCAGTAAATGGTAGAAATACAAATATAGATAAAAATATTGCAATGACAATATTGTGCTTACAACTTAATTTTTAGTATCAGCGTGCTTACAATTAGGGATAATCGTCCGCTAATAATAATTTTTTTAACAATATAATGAAAATATTTGTTGACCGTTAATTCACTCATACAAAGCAACCTAAAAATTTACTACGGGAAAGTAAATTTCCTCTTATTTTTTTTTTGTTTTTTTCCTTAATTAAAAATAATTAGAAAAAATATTACATGTGATAGCCCCACTTAGTCTAGTTTTAAGTGAAATAATTAAAAAAGCGAAGTAATTAAAAAGTTTCCACCTCTTTCGGGAGTAAGGATTTATTTTTAGTTTTTTAACGGTTATCAATAGTACTATGTCTAAAGAATATTTCATTTAAATTTTGAATTAATTCGATAATTTTTAAAAATTGTATAAATAGCTGTAATTTTAAGTTGAAAAATTTGTACATTTTCGGGTGTTTTTCTCGATTTTGAAGGGATAAACTTTAAAATATTTGGACCAATAAAGTACCTTTCAAGTACGATTTCTGATCTGTAGATTTACTACACGAAGAAATCAATTTAGCGGACTGTGATACAAAAAGAAAAAAAACACATTATTGTAAAAATAATACCTCCTCAGCTACGCTTTAAAACTAAAAAAGGATCATAGTCAGTTTCAAGATGTGATTCAACAGTCAAAAGGCGTTTAGAAATATTTTCATTAGGTATATTGTTTATTACGATTTATGGGTAATAACGGCAATCCGTTATTATAGACAGATGATCAACCCTAAAAGTATCCACCCTAATACTAAAAATAAATTTTTAAACACATTATTGTCATTAGATACAATGCTTTTATTCATGTTTGTAATACTAAAATTAGAGTTTCAAATCATAGCGTTTATTTGAAAGTGGTTTTATCATTTTCAGTTGTAATAATTTATCTTGACCTTTGACCTTCCCCGTTTTTTTGCTCATGTTATTTCAAATTGTTATAAAACTTCCAAAGATTTACGTTTTGGTTTTTATAGAGCGCACTGCGCCACTTTTAAAACTTATGCGGTAACATAAAAAAGTTATACATTTTTTTGAATTAAGAAAAAATTAAAGTGATTGAAAGTAATGACTGGTCGATTAACAGTTTTGAATAATTCAATTTAGTGCTATTAACATTTAAAAGTGAAGACGGAAGAAAATTACGGTTGAGTTATTCTTGCAGATAAAAATAATACTATTCAATCCACCTTTCTTCAACACCCTGTATATTTATATTTTACATGTACTTATATACTTAAAAATTCTTTCAATTAATTTGGGATGTATCAATTTAAAATACTTACTTTTTATAAATTAATAAGTAATTACAAAGTTAATTATAAAATTCACAGTGGAATTAATAACAGTTTTTTACTTTAATATTTTAGTATTTGAATATACTAGAATACGAACCATCCGTTGTAAGCAAAAAGTCCGGAGTAAAATGAAAGCGAAATTGAGGTAACTTCGGTCTTTGTATTTTCAAATGTAAAATGTTCGGTATGTCCTATAAAATAATAAAAATATCAACTTAAGTGTATAATTGCATTGACACATTATTATTATTAACCATTATTATTCATTACTTTGTTTCTACAAAACGCTAGTAAGATTTTAAAGTCTATGTCAAGTTCTGTCTTCTTGAAATATTTTAATGATGACGATTTTAAATTATAACATTTAATACAAAATGTATGAACGTTTATATAATTATTGTTATTTGTGATTTTAAATTTAAATAGGTTCAACAAATAATCCCTATCATTTTTAAAAATTATAATAATATAGCCGGTCTAATAATTTTTCTTAATTATGGGTTGCCAGCAGACACGCTTACTTATTGATACAAAATACATGTTGTACATATATGTATAACTGTATTAATAAATCGTTTTTTGTAATATAAAAGTAGTGTTAATAATAAAATAATAATGGCTATAATGTAGCTATGTTAAAATCCATAGACGAAATAGAAAATAAATAAATATATAAGGGTTCTAAAAAAGAAACGTATCCAATGTGCAAGCACTTCCACAATCCGACCTCCTAACTTTAGTGTAAATTGTGAAGTACTTAACAATGGCATCACTTGTTCATATACATACGTATTAAATATATATTTAACACTACGGCGGTATCACGCAATTATTATATTTTAGGTACGAATAAAATAATGTATGGCGCCGTTATACATACAACTATAGTATTATGTATTAAATGAATACAAGAAAGAAAAAAAAGGAAATAGCCAAAACACGAGAAATCGAATTTCGTGCATCAATATGTCGACTATATTTTTGTAACAAGATTCCAATTGCATTCAAAACGAATACCAAAACGCCTGACGAGAAAAAAAAGAACAATTGCAAATTAAAAGGGAAATCGTGCAAGATTATTCTACCAATGACACACACAAACACACGCGCGTGCGCACGTTTTAAATATATACCCGCGTAGTGTGTGATATTTTAACTACAAAATATAAATTAAAAAAATATATGTTATTACATAAACCGCATCCGTAGACGTTCATTTACGTGTGTCCAGTTATTATTTACCGTGTCTATATAGAACTCACTGCGTATTTGAACTATCTCGGCACGTGGAAATATTCGAATTTTAAACGGACATGTATATATTTTTTTTATTATGCGCCGCAGTGATATTTTTGCCGGCACGGAAAATCAAGAAATTGTCGTAGCTTCGTTTTATTTTGTCTACCGATCGAGAGCAATAGCTTGAAATTTAATCTGACCTGTCAACAATTGTCGTGTAGGTAATTTGAAAGTGATCGAGTTCTAGACGCACAATGAGCATTGTAATTTTCTTAAAAAAAAAAAAAAATGCCAAACAACTGAAATTTGTTTTAGGTAATTCAATTCTAAGAGTACTCGTCCGAAAACAATAATCAATTTCGACAGCGTAGCTACTAACCCGCATCCAAAAATAGCTGACGAAAAAAACTTATTTTATCATAAAAATCTTAGTTTTCTCTTATCATTGAAGTCTGTTATGTGTCTTTCTTATTATATATGCAAAGAACTACTGAAAATATAAGTTTTTAAGTATTATAAATGACTACCACTGTTATGCTCAGATACTCTATTCTAAAATTATGAAACATGGACGTTAAAATAATATGATAAACGTAATCGCAGTACCTATTTGAAAATTGTTGCTATAGAAGATTATGAAAAATTTCGTGGACATGAGGAATGAGGAATACACAAAACTAATAAATAATTATAGTTTATCATCACAAAGTTTTGTGGAGACTTAATGCTTGGACTCTAGTATAACCTCCTAAAGGCATTCATGTTTTTTGAAATTAAAGGCACGGATTGTTTTGAATGTATAACATCCGACCGTGTCAACTACATTCGTTCCAACATTTTGTCTACACTTAATAATTATATCGATGCGTTTTTCCATTATTCCAAACATAACGTTCAGTACATCGTTTAGAAATAACGACTAGGTATTTCAACATTTTTAAATAACTAACATTTCAACAAAATAATTTTTTTTTTCTTAAACGCATCGAGATGTCCTTTGGAATATTGTCCACTTTTAATTTCATAATAGGCGCTTTACTCTAAAACCAAAATTAACCGAGTTCTATTCAATCTACGTTAACATGTTTTTACCCCTGAAAATCACCGGTACGATGCGACGCCCTCCAGAGTCTAGGGGATTACAGAGGGCGGTTTTTAAGGGATTTTATACCGGCAATATTTAAGAAAAAAGTGGTTTTTATCAAATTTATCGTAAATAAGTTAAAGTTTCAGGATTTAGATTTTAACAATTTGTTCTACGATAAAAACCATTTTGTTCCTACACGAAACCAATTTAGACATAAAAGCCTGACAACATGACGTCTACTTAGATTTGTCAAATTTTAATTCTGTAGAAATTATCTCTATTTACATATTTTTCGGTTACTCCCTCTTGAACAGGGTGACAGTTGTCTGTCAACTTTCCGGAACACTTGCACGTCTCAACAAATATTTATGCTCATTTTTTCCATTGTGGAAGTCGTTTTTTGAATAACTGTTTCAATTATTTAAAAAAGACAAATGAATACTACAAACTTGAGAAATTAAAATAGGAATTAAACACAGTTCCAAAATCCATCCCCTCAATAACCTAGAAAAGATGTCGATAAACTTAAATATTTTTATAGAATTGAAATCGGAATTCGGACCATCCTAATTAGGCCTAATTTTGTCAGACTTTTACGTCTAAAATGTCAAAAAACAGATAGTTTTCAATCTCCTTAAGTTAGATTTACACGGTTCACTCTAGTTGAATCCCTTTTGAGCCAAAGTTAAATATGTACCCAGCTTTATTTTAATCGTTCACTTCGGATGATCACTTTTTATTATTTTGATATTCGCGCGTTCTGTTTTTCATGAATTCATAAATAATGATCATCTAGAGTGAGCGGTGCAAAATCTTCTTGGCCATTTCATTATATTGCATTCCGGTCTAGACAATATTACATTATTATATTTTGGCATTTCGATGCCAAAATTTTACCCTCGGTTAGTTTTAATCATACCTCGTTATAGTTTTTTATTCGGTCACCCGTCGTATTGGATGGCATCAGCTAAACTGAGACTATATTATAATCCAACGGCGGCGGTTTAGTTTAACTAATCTGAAAATGATTACACATTTTTTTCGTCTCGTTTTTATCCTCGGTTTGTTCGGAGAATCAGAGTGTTCGGTTTTAGTTCCGGTCATGCGCACCGATGCAGTATAAAGCACTCTGGGAAAACACAATGCACGCGGGCCATGTTGGCGCGTTGACATGGCGAACTTTTTTTTCTATGTCAATCACATACAATCGGGTCGATGGCTTTCCAATAACGCTGCGATATATATTATCTCGAATGAAGATTTTCGTTTTCACTACTCGACTCCGACCATTTAACTACGGCGACCGTCGATCGAACGCTGTCAGGGGGTCGTGTCGAGTCCGTCTGAGAAGGAAAACAACAACATGCAGAAGAAAAAATAATTGTACAAAAGATTTCACGTGTTACAATTGTCATTGATACGTTGCGAAGACGAAGGCTATACCATCCGCGTATAATATAATACCGCGCTATACCTATACGTTGTATATTAAATATATATATGTATGTAAGGAATAGGTACCTCGGCGACGATGACGACTGAGCGGTCGGCCGGAATCTCAATTGTTTTCACGTGGCGTGTTCTTGGGCCGCCACTGATTGACACCCGTTTATATCGAATCACTATAATAATAATAATTGTGTCCGACCGGTGCCACACAGTTATATCGGTGGTAATAATGATAATAATAACAATGTATTAAAATTATAATGAAATAGAAATCTGGCATTGAATCCGTGTGGAAACTTGGTGGATAAATCGAAACGGATTTGTGGTATTATGACGTATACAAAGAAGACACGACATAGGATATCGAGTGATATTTTATTTGAAAAAAAAAACCAGACGAGAAATAATAAGGGCCGCCCCGGGGGACCCTCCTTTACAATAATATAACACAATATTGGAATAATATATAATATTTATCAAAAGGAATTTCAAATTTTTGCAGAGAAACTATAGAATGTTCGTTTAGTGTTAATTTACACTTTGTTGCAAATAAATATATTTTATTTAATTATCGAAACTCAGTAATATTAATAGTTTGATAACAATATAATATATATGTATGCCACTTTTTGGCCCACGTGTGAATTTTTCAATATATACATGTGAATTTGTATTATATTGTTGATTTACTAATACAAAAAAGTACCATTGAATTGGACCTAACATAATAGCACATTTTCGTATTAAAATAAATTGTAAATCAACAATATAACACAAATATTTTTCAGATGCCTATTGATTCACTAACACATAGCAAGTTAAAAATGTACAACGGTTAAAATGCATAAATATTCTAGACAAATTTAATGAACATTATGGTTGTTTACTGTGCATCGACTATAAAAAAATCGATTGACATTTTAACGTTGTTACTACTTTTGCAAATGATTAGTAAGTAAAGGCTTTTAATTTGTACATCAGTTTCTTGTACAACATGAGTTCGGTCCTTTAACAGAGTAAATAATCTGCTTAACGTCTTAATCTAACCGTTTACTGGTAAATTACCGTCAACATACAAGGCGACCCACTTACGATTGCATGGGTTAAAATTATATAATATTTTTTGGGGACTTCATAAATAGTTAATAAACTTCGTATTTTTTTCGCCAGCTCTAAAATTTATTTTAAAAAAACATGAGCGAAAAAAAACATCAAAGGATTTTTGCTGAGCTTCCCTAATTGTATTTTCTTACAGTGGTTTTTACTTTGAATAAATGAAAAACAATATATTTATAAACTTATTGTAATTATTTTTGTTAACCTTAAGAAAATATCTTACGAGTTGTGAAAAGTACATGTAAGTATTCTAAATTAGATTTATCTTATCATTATATAAATAAATCAAAATGCCAAAAA